TGACACAAGAAGATCCACAGCCAACCAAAGTCAGTGCCAGGGGGAAAACAAAACAAAACCACAGTGGTGCATTTCCTTGGCCAGTGTTAGGTCTAATCCACAGTTCAGGGTGAGCCCTGGGACAGATCAGGCTTTCTCATGGAGGAGGGCCATGGGGGACATGGCCTGTGATGTGAGGAAACACTGGCCCCTCCATGGGGCCCAAGGGCCAGGGTTACTACTTTTTAGGTTGAGATCCAAATGGTAGCTGGGCGGTGGTGGTACACGTCTTTGATCTCAGTGCTCTGGAGGCAGAGGCAGGCAGATATCTGAGTTCCAGGCCAGCCTGGTCTACAAAATGCATTCCAGGTCAGCCAGGGCTACACAGAGAAAACCTGTCTCAAACACCCCTTCACTTGAAAAAAACGAAATCCAAATGGTACAAGACACCGGAGATGGATGATAAAAAGTAGGTATCCTAGATGCTTACATCGTCATTCCAGTATTTATGAAGACTGCATTAAGTTTGGGACTAGACCAAGCCACATGTCGAGTTCCAGCACAGCATGCCCTGCAAAACAAACCAAACATACAAAAAACAAACAGCAAACTGCAAAATCATCAAAAGAACAGGCAGCTTGGTGGAGGTCAAAGCGACAACCTCTGGGTCTCCGCCCACTGTCCCACAGGAAGGGCTCTTATGGCTGGAAGTCAGGATGAGATGGGTAAACCGACCCCACAACTGTTGCCTGTCTGGGGAGGACGGGGAGAGGCCATTCAGCCACCGAGGCTGTCCTGCCCCTTTGAGACATCTAGAACATCTTTATCACTTCTGCACACCCCCACTCTGCACCTCTGGCTGGCGCTATTCTAGGTACTGGGGATGAAGGAAAAAGGAGCTGAAGCTCCTCCACCCTATGTGGCCTTACACTGTAGGGTGGGGAGGGCAAACGGCCCACACTTGGTAGACTGTTTAAAGTCCACAGTTAATTGTGGACTGCCAGTGTGGGGAACAGTCCTGCAAGGAGCACGTCTGAGGAGCAGACAGCATCCCACTTGGCTACACCTGTGCACTAGGCTCACTGCCTCTCCCCCGGCCCCTCTCAGGAGGACTTCACTGTGAAGTCCCACTGTCCTGAAAGTTGATTTGTAGATCAGAGATGATCCTGAATTTCCTCCACTCCCCCAAGAGGTTATTTAAATAACTGGCATCCAAACCCAGGCTAGGATGTGCTCTGCTAGAGTCGCGCCCTGGCACATTCTGTCAGGGCTCTTGCAGAGTGGCTCTGATGTGCAGGCTGGCTGTCTGGTCCTCGTCCGTCCAGCAGGCCCAAGTTAGATGTTACTGTCTTTTTTTGTTTGTTTTGTGAGCTAAGGTCTCATTCACTGTGTAGCCCTGGCTGGCACGGAACTCAGAGATCTGGCGGCCTCTGCCTCCCAAGTGCTGGGACGGAAGCTGTGCCCCACCACAGGCCGTACACTGACTTTTGGAGGTGGTGGGTGGGAGGGTTAGAACTATCAGTGTGCAGAGTGGAGTCTGGACTGAGCTCAGTGGCACCAGCATGTTTAAGGCTTTTGATTCAACCCTCAGAAAACCTCCCCCTCCCTCTCTCCCTCAAAAACAAAACAAAACAAAAAAATCCAGTGTTTGCCAGGCAGTGGTGGGTAGCCCACACCTTTAATCCCAGCACTGGGGAGGCAGAGGCAGGTGGATCTCTGAGTTTGAGACCAGCCTGGTCTACATAGTAAGTTCCAGGACAGCTAGGGCTATAAACAGAGGGAGAGGTGGAAACCTTGTCTGGGGAGGAGCAGAGAGGCAAAATATACAATGCTTATCCAGACATGGAGGTACACTCTACCAATAGTTTAAGATAGCTCCAGGCTATATGAGGTACTCTCTGAAAAACAAACAAAAACAAAAACAAATCAAAGGAATCTGTACATCAGCCTGTCAGACCTAGCACGGCACACATGCCACCCACTCTCTTTGTGTCCTAGTCAGGGTCTTGTTCTGAACAGCTGTCTTGAAGAGCAGTATGTCTGCTACAGGACTCGTGAGCTGGTGTACTGGGACTACTTATGACCACACCAACCATCTGAGGACTGAGAACAGAAGCGTGCACCACCACAACAGGCTCTAATTCATTTTCGGCAAAGGTGCTGGCCTCCGGGTAGAATGCATTTTGAAATGGTCCCGCTTCAGAATGGTACTCCCTCTCCCTGGGCCTTTTCACACCCGAGACCCTCTGCTACGTCAACCAGAGGGAAGAAACGGGGCACCTTTGCATAGACTGGTTGTCTGCTTGCTTGCAAAGAATGTCATATACCTCAAGCTGCCCTTTAGCACCTGACACTTGCCCCCCCCCCCCAAGTGCCGGGGTTACATGGAGCCTCAGATCTCTGCACAGTAGGCCAGCATTTCTGGAGATGAAAAGAAGTCCTAGGAGCCTGGTGCTTTTTTGTTTGTTTTGGTTTTTTTTAATGATAGGAAAGTTAGCATTTTAACCCTAGTCAGGGGACCATACTGCCTGCCAGGTTCCCTAACTAACTTGAGATACTCCCAGAAAGTAGACAAGAAAAAAAAAATTATATGGCATTGTCTAGGTCTGAAACGACATTCAATATTAATGCTTTATTTTGGACTTTGAAGAAAGGACATGTCCGTCACCCCCCTCCCCCCCAATTTGTGATACAGCAGACTTCTAGCACCATACTGGCTTTGAGAATATAACAATGAAAAAGCAGTTAACAGCCTTTTTTTATTTATTTATTTATTTTTTTGGGCCCTGGCTAGCATGCTACCTAGACTAGTCGGGCCTCAGCTGAGAGATCTATCCTCCTCTGCCTCCAGAGTGTTGAGATTAAAGTTGTATACCATCAGACCCAGCATGAACCCCATTTTAACAGACCTCTCTACCTGGGTATTGTCTGTGGGGATGTCCTGATTGTATTTCTAGGGCAGGATTCTTTCTCCCTCCCCATAGGGTTTCTCTGTGTAAAAGCCCTGGCTGTCAGGGAACTCAGAAAATCGCCTGCCTCTGCCTCCCGAGTGCTGGGATTAAGGCATGCACCACCACCCACCGCCATGCTCCTAGGGCAGGATTCTTTGAGATGGTGTCCTTACTAGGTAGTCCTGGTTGTCAAGGACCTCGCTACAGAGATTGGCCTACTTTGTCCTCCCAGGTGCTTTGATGGAAGGCACTTCACACCACACCTAGCAAGATTCATGGAGCAAGAGCTAGTCATGACCCTTAAGGAACAGCTCAGAAGCGCTGCCTTGATGAGGAAAGTGCTGTTTAGCAAAGATACAGAGACCAAGAACACCACTGAGCACAGTCTGCAGGTGTAACTCAGAGAAGTCCATGTGTACCTGGACAGTACCCACTCTTCCACCCTGGTGGGCCCTGTGACCCTTTAAAACTTAAAAAAGGGTATAAACACAGCTGGCAGCAGGTCGAGAGGCCGGACACCTCCTGGCTTAGCAGGGCACTTCTCTCTAGAGGCCTTGAACCCAGGCACTAAGAGATGGATGGTTTGGCTTCAGGGTCCCAGGGCAAGCAGCTCCCCTGCAGTCATAGCAGACGTGTTGCTACTGTACTGCTGCTTGCGTGGCCTCTTCTCCCGTGACCCTCTCTTCATGATGTCAGGACTGCATTCCAGCTCTACTCAGTTTTTGTCGTCACCCACAAAGTCCTAAGGGCCCTGGGTCTCTCCCCTTTGTTTAGTCATTTGCTTCTTTCCAAACTGCTCTTCTGGGGTTCTTCCTCTCCCAAGCTTCTTGCATTTCGGTCCACAGCGGTCCGCACAAACAGTCACCTCTGCCTTTCCCTTCTAGCCCTGGATCAATCAAGCTGCCTCACTCATGTTCTCAGAGTCCAGCTAAACCCTGGCCATGCTGTCTGAAGGCCTCTGCTGGGCTTGCTTGTCCTCCATCTCTCTCCCCTTATGATGGATTCCAAAAACAGCTGCCAGAATCTTTTGCAGGCCTTGGGGACCCGTGTCCTCTGGAGTTCTCAAGATGCTCTGAAATGTATTCCACATCATTTCTCATTATAACCCATTCTAAGTCCTCACTTTTTAAAACAGCTATGTGTGTGTTAATATGCATGTGGGCACAAGTGCCCACGAAGGCCAGAAGTGTTGAATTCAACAGTGAGCTACTAGATATGAACGCTGGAAATTAAGCCGTGGCCCTCAGCAAATGCAGTGTGTAATCCTAAGTGCCCAGCAAACTTCCCACTCCTAAGCTCCCACTTCTTGTTTGTTGACTGACTGCTGGAATGTAAGTTTCAAGGAGACAGGGATCTGTATTTTCACTCATCCATGTGCCTGATCCCAGGAGACAAGACAACAAACAGCTGTGATTTAAGTGCTAGTCCAGATTTCCTGCCCCAGGTAACGCCCACCAATCAATCAACAACTAACTAACTCAATGCAACAATTTCCCTGTAACATTAAAATGTGAAACTAAGTGTCAAGTTCATTACCCTTCTCTGTATAACCATGTGGGTGTCGGAAAAAGCTGTAGGTCTGATTCATATGTGAATCACAGGAGTGAGAGGACTATCATGTATTGCATGGAAAAAACCAGCTCAGTGATGTCAGGCCTAGTGTTTCCTCACGGGAATACATGGTCCTCAGGACTAAACAGCTACCGTCCCTCCCCAGGGACCAGGAAGGCTGTGAGAGAGGGTGCTACGGACCTAAAAAGCTGGGGTCTATCCAGAGCACGCAGCACTCGGTGCTTTCCATGTGTCAAACCCATGGTGGGGGCCAGCAGCATGCATGCTTCAGGACTGCTTAGACTGGGGCTTCAATACAGCATTAGGAGACAGTGCAAGGTTTTACTGAGAAAAAGTGAATTTTTAATTGTCTTGTGAATCTACTTAGAAAAACACACACAAGCAATGTTCACAACTATAAATTTAAACCTTTTGCACTAAAAAACCAAAACAACAAAAAAAAAACCCCAAAACAAAACAAAAAACCAAAACCACAAAACAAACACAAAACCACAGGCATGAACTGTAAACCTGTATTAATTATCAACTAGTCTTAAGGTTAATTCTTAGCAGTTATTCAGTATTTTCCTTCTTGGCAATTGCAATGTTTTAGCACCAAATGATCCCCCACAGAGGTACTAGTAATGCTGGCTGCCAGTGTCAGGAGATGCTTCCAATACAGTGCTCCCCACACCCACCATCCACTCACACCACACACAGGAGTCACGTGCAGATGGGTTACACTCTGACTCCCCGGGCAATGGAAACGAGACAGAGGCACGGGGTCACAGACTTTAATGTAGTGCATTCGTAGAAAAGGCCAGCCTTCGCTCCCAGGCGTGCTCTCATCCTCAGACTTTAATGTCATGATTTAGAAGATGCAGACGTTATTGCCTAAATATTACTCTATACATTTCCATCAGTGTTCTGGAAAACACCTTAAATTGCTACTTAATTTACACCATAATTACTGGGTTACAGCTTTAGCTCATTGGCAATTTTGGAAGCAATATTTTTGAAAGCTATGGATGTCCCTGATATCCGTTTAAACCGGACTCCATTCAGAGACAGTCTTGGCAGCTTACAGACTTCCATTTCCCACTGCACCAGGTTCTCTGCGTGCCCGTCGCCATGGACACACAAGAGCAGGAAGCGCTCCCTCTGTTCATAGTCGCAGTTATTGGCGTCCAGCACTTTGCGGATCTCCCGCATCATGTCACTGGGATCCATGGAACTAGTGGTTTTCATGCTCCAGGTGAAGCGCAGTGAACGAGGTTTTGCCTCTTTGTTTTCATCCTTTTGTTCCGAAGATACATTGCGACTGAAATGCACAGGGGCAGGGTGGTTTTTAATTGCACTGGAAAAAGAACCTTTTCTACCTTAGCTAGTTGGTTACCCATTCAGCACAAATGACAATTGACCCCATGCACCTTACATACACCTAGAGGCTTACGCCTTTATCCCCGACTGCTAAACATAAAGACTGCACACACACAAAAACCTACCTGGCTGGAGAATGTTCAGGAGCAACCTGGACTGGAAATCCTCTGAAATCAGGCAAAGCAGAGACAGAGTCCACTGCTGCACTGGGGCGAGTGCTGACCTGCAACCTCCTGCTCTTTCTCCCACAGCTTCTCTGTTACTATACTTATGCTTGCCACAAGTTCCACAGAAACCAGTGCTCAGAGGTTGACTCAGAATTCCCAGCTTAGTATTACTGCTCCTTAGTTAGATGCTGAGTGCACAGCTAGGCCAGCCATTCTCTGTCACCACCATCTACCTTGTTTCTTTATTTGTTTGTAGTATTATTTATTTATTATTCTTTACTAGATGAGTGCTCTATCTGTATGTAATCCTGCATGACAGAAGATGGTTGTGAGCTGCCATGTGCTTGCTGGGAACTGAACTCAGGACTCTGGAAGAGCAACTCGTGCTCTTAGCTGCAGAGCCATCTCTCAAGCCCTTGTTGTTTTCTCTATTTTGTTAAAATTCCAATTTCATAGTTGAAAATATCCAGTTCATGCTCCTGTGGTACCAGTCACTCAGGAGCCTGAGAAAGAAGGATCACAAGAGCCCAGGAGCTTGAGGTAAGCCTGTGTAACAGTGAAGCCCATCTCAAAATAGGCAAAACCAAACTCTACGAATACCACAACTCAGATGATCTCATCCTAATAAAACAGACAGAAAAATGAAATGCTACAGCCCACTTGTCTGTGGAGAGTTGAGATGACTGGTCTGCAGGAGCCGAGGGCTCAAAGCACAGCTAAATTGCTACATTAGATACTTGCAGGTCACACAGGCAAGCACAAGCTTGGCAACATTTTTGGGATCAGGAACCCTTACTTGAGGAGGCAAAAACAGCACACAAAAAAAATAAATAAATAAAAAAAATAGGGCAGTCTCCTGGAGTCACAGGAAGAAGAGTAAGACAGGGCAGACCAGGAGGACTGAATACCCACAACTTAGTAAAGTTCAGTGGAATCAGAGGCAGAGATGTGTGTTTGCGTGTGTGCTTTCCTTTTTTGTGGAGATGGGGTTTCATGAGGCTCAGACGGCCCTGACCTCCTGGTCTCCCTGCTCCACATCCCAAGTACTAGGACTACAGGTGTATGCTACTGTGCTTGCTGAGTTTTGTCTTGAATAGGGACAATGCTACCGAATGCACAGAGGCAGGAAGTGCAGAATGCAATCAAGACCCATCATATTGGGTCAGAGTGGCATAGATAAAACCACTGGTCCTTAGAGAGCGCTTGCATGGCAAACTTTATCTCTTTCCATACCAGGAAGTAGGTTCCATCATCACCTTCCTGTTGTGGATGGGGCAACACATAAGGGAAGGCAAAGCTGGCTCTAAGATGGGACATGCCTGGGAGGAGACCCTTGAAACAGCAGCTGACACAGTGCCCCAGGCTCCATGGGCAGTTGGTCAAGCAGCTGGTGCCAATGAAGGTGTTCACACGGACCTGCTGCATCATCAGGACTTGCCGTGGAATGCACAGCTGGAGGCCTACTACAGAGATGGAAGCCTGGGCCCATCTGGGATTCCATATTCACACAACGAGAGCTACAGTTTTTATGCAAACATACAACTTACATAATCATCATTTTAAAAGAAAACACCACCTCCCCCTCCCAACCTTATTCAAGGCATCAAGACATAAATATGAAGTGGGGTTGAGCTCAGGAAAGCGCTCATGGCACACCAGTGCCCTCTCATGGCTGCTGGCATGCAAAGCAGTCTCCTAGGTCCAGAAAGCAGACCCAGCAGCCTCAGGAATAGTCTAGAACCAGAACCTTGACACTGCCCCAACCAGGCCCACTGCATTTAAATGAATAAGCAGAAAACAGCACTGAGCTGCTCTGCTACAATGAGGCAGTCAGCAATTACAATATTAGAAATAAAGAGTGTCTCCCTCACCTTGAGCCCTCATATCTCCCGTTCCTCTCATATTCAGTTGGAAGTCTCAATGGACAGAACGTGGAAGCAAAGGAAAGTGGAAAGAGAAAAGAAATCTTACACGCTGTCCACAGTCACCCGTTCATCAACACAGACATCACGTAATGAATTAACTCAGCCTACGCATTTCAGTTAGCACAGAACCAGTTCAAACTACCCCTCCATATGACGGCTGCTGCTGGATTCTCCGTGAGACACAGCCGTGGAAAGGGGCAAGCTGTGCCACATCAGTTTTCTTCCTGCTGTGCACACTCATGGCTTTGGATCAGAGCTGTTCTGTTCTGTGTTCTATTACCACGGCACACAGTATACTTTCCATTTAAAAAGAAACGAGGTTATCAGTAGACCTCTGCATTCAAATATAACACATTTGTCCAATGAAAATTTGCTATTTGGGAAAATCACCCATCATGAAGAGGCACTTGGAACAAATAGAAAGTATTTTCCTTCACTTTTTCAGAGATGTTTCATAAACAAAACTATGTAACCTGGCCTTCCTGACAGGCACAGGCAGGCAGTAACTTAAACCCCATCACCAACAACAGGGTAGCCCTGACTGGCTCACAGAGGTTTGCCTGCCTCTGCCTTCCAGGTGATGTTAAGACGTGCACCATCATGCCTAGCTAGGAAGCAGCCTTAATGGCAGTATTTCTACTTTATACGTGCACATTCCAAGGACACCAACACCAAAAGCATTAACCCAACTGGAACACCACTTACTATCATGCTCTGGAGGATTTTATGCCCATTTCCAACGTAGAGTATTAGCCACCTCGTCATCTTACAGCCTTTGCCAACTCAATTCTCAGTAAAACAAAAGTGATGACTCATACAATAACCACTTACCTTCTGCATGCATGAGGCTAAATCATTAATTGTACACTCGATTACTGAACATATCATTCTTTAAAAACAGCAGCATGCTAAGTGCTATTAGTACCAAGACAGAATTATATGGATGCTAAATCATTCTACTGAAGAAAGAGTGCACAGGGCATGCACAGGCCTTCTGCTGAATAGGTGCCACAATTCCTTTAATATGCCCCAAAGAGTTAATCTATTTCTCTCCAGTTTCCTTACAAGGATGTGAGAATTTAGTTCTTAGCAGAAAGTTTAGTTTTAAAGAAAACAACAACAACAACAACAACAAAAAAAAAAAAACAAAAAACAGGACCAAAAAGCCAAACCTGTTGTTAATTGCAGGAGCCATTTGGGGAGGAGGGTGGGGTGAGGATTGAAAAGTAAGTGTATATATATAAATCCTACCTTTTGATAAACCTGAATGACATGTTTCTAAAAGAAATTAAGCCAAAAAAAAATTAACAAATTAAACAGAAAATCTAGTTAATTATAGAAAGAATAGAAAGAAAAAAAACAAACAAACAAAAAAACAAACCAAACACATGGCTCCTCTTCTGGCCAATAATCAATAAAAGAAACATTTGTTGAAAAAGTAAAATTATTATAAACACTTAAATTTTGAGTATGTGGTCTTTTAATTTGAAACATAAAAACATGTTTAGCCATAATAACTAAATTCATTATAAAACTTTTAAGATAAAATTCAGTCTTTAAAAAATTATCATGATCGTTATGATGTTATTATTATTAATACAGAGTCTTACTGTATATATCAAATGCTGGTCTTGTACTTGAAAGCTGCTTCCTCCTGAGTGCAGGGATTAGAGAGACCTGTCACTACACACGCACACTCAACGTCTTAAAGAAATGAAATGCCCTTTGCAATGCACTTATCACTGAGCTATATGTGATGGCATGGTCCTAGGATCTAGCATGGAGGCAAGGAAGGAGTGCTATAAATTTGAGGCCAGGTCGTGCTCCAGAGCCAGGGCTACACAGCAAGATCCTGTATTAAAAGGGGTGGGGCTGGTAACACTGCTTGGTAAAGTGTTAGCCTAGCATGCATGAAAACTTCACTGATCTCCAGTACTTCACAAAATGGGGGCATGGCTGGGCAGAGCTTTAATCCCAACACTCAAGAGGTCTTGGAGATATGAAGAGCAGAAGTTCAAGGTCTTCCTTGACTACCTAGTCAGTTTGAAGATAGTCTGGGGTACACGAAACCTTGTCTCAAAAACAAAACAAAACCGAATGCAACAATAACAAACTGAAGGAGACTAGTGGGCTGTGCTGAACAGAGTCTGACAAGATCTTTTACACAAAAAGCACCTATGGGCAAGTGTAGGCAGGAAAGACCAATGTTGCAATGGACAGTGCAGACACACATATTCACCAAACAGTTTTGGATTTTTTCTCTTTGGTTTGGGATTAACTTTGTACTACTTTTAGGGAAGATTTTTTTGTTTTGTTTTGTTTTTGTTTTTGTTTTTTGTTTTTCAAGGCAAGGTTTCTCTGTGGCTTTGAAGGCTGTCCTGGAACTAGCTCTTGTAGACCAGGCTGGCCTCGAACTCACAGCAATCCGCCCGCCTCTGCCTCCCGAGTGCTGGGATTAAAGGTGTGCGCCACCAACTCTTGGCGGGAAGTCCCAACTCTTGATCGTGTGTATGGCACTGTCATCTGTAACTGTGCTGGGCTCCATTCATAGCTATCCTAGAGTGCATGCAACATTGGAGCTACAGGTTGGACACGCTTGCTTAGACAAACTGAGCAGACAATGGTACACAGCAGGGTAAATACTTCGTAGAAGACTGTGCATGTAAAATATATTTCGGAAATATTATTTCAAAGTGATTATTAGTCCCCATCTTTCCAGTGCTGGGGCCTTATGAATTATATCTACATGCCTAGACAAGGTATTTCCTTCCTTCCTTCCTTCCTTCCTTCCTTCCTTCCTTCCTCTTTTCTTGCTATCTACCTATCTGTGAGCTGTCATGTGGGTGCTGGGAATTGAACTCGTGTCCTCTGGAAGAGCAGTCAATCTCTCAACTACTGAGCCCTGGAACACAGGTTTTCTAAAAAAGCAGTAAATGCTCAACCACCGAGCTGTTTCTTCAGCCCCTCACAAAATTTCTAAATGTTAAGTCAAAAGTTACTGTCTAAGATATATGGAAGACAGAGTTAAGACTTGTACTATGCTTGGGATCATGTGGACCAGTCTGAGATGCAGAAACATCCGTGTCTGGGCTGGAGCTTATACTACCTGTAGGGTCGGGCAGATTTATTGGTTCATCTTTAAGTGTGTGTGTGCATGTGCACACTTGCCATCAGATACTTCTGAAGTTCTAGTTACAGATGGTTGTGATTCACATAAAGTGGGGATTAGAGGCCGGGCAGTGGTGGCGCACGCCTTTAATCCCAGCACTTCGGAAGCAGAGGCAGGTGGATCTCTGTGAGTTCGAGGCCAGCCTGGTCTACAGAGTGAGTTCTCGGACAGCTAGGATAGTTACACAGAGAAACCCTGCCTCAAAAAATACCAACAAACAAAATAAAATAAAATAAAGTGGGTATTAGAAATCAAATTTCTGTGGTTTACAAGCTCAGTTTGATTTTTTTTTTTTTTTTTGGTTTTTTGAGACAGGGTTTCTCTGTGTAGCTTGGCGCCTTCCTGGCACTCACTCTGGAGACCAGGCTGGCCTCGAACTCACAGAGATCGGGCTGCCTCTGTCTCCCAAGTGCTGGGATTAAAGGGGTGAGCCACCAACGTCCGGCTTCAGTTTGATATTTTTAACCACTGAGTCATCTCCAGGGTTGGGAGACTCTACTTGTGGAGTTACCTACAGCTCTCCAAAGCCACAGGCTGACTGGTTATACTCAGCCCCCTTGCCTCTCCTTTGTAGTATTTAAGTGTCGACTTCATGACCTTTCAGGCATTATAACTTTAGCATGAGCAATTATTGTCAAGAGGAAGATAAAGAATTTCAACTGTAGTAACAAGGTTTTGTTTTTTAACATTTATTTATGTATATGAGTGCTCTGTCTGAATGTACACTTGAATTTGAGTAGAGGGAATTGGATTCCAATGTAGATGGTTGTGAGCCACCATGCAGTTTCTGGGAATTGAACACAGGACCTCTGGAAGAGCAGACAGTGCTCTTGGCTCAAAACCCAGCCCCCATATTTTGGTTATGATTATCACCATTTTTGGTTTTGGTTTTTACATTTTTTGAGACAGGGTTAGGAAACCCTGTATAGCCCTGGCGGTCATGGAACTCACTCCATAAACCAGATTGCAAATTGCTCTTGAGGTCAGAGATCTCCTTGCCCCTGCCTCCTGAGTGCTGGGAGTAAAGAAAAATACAAGAATTCTTGCATTCAGGAGGCAGAGGCAGAGGCAGAGGCAGAGGCAGAGGCAGGCAGATCTCTGTGAGTTCAAGGCCATCCTAGTCTACAGAGCAAGTTCCAGGACAGCCAGGGCTATATAAAGAGAAACCCTGTCAAGAAAAACAAACAAAATTCTATCTTAAATAAAAGTAAAAAATAAAAAAACTGGGAGTGGGGTGGTAGGTGAGATTGCTTGGTGGTTAAGAACACTAGATACACTTACAGAGGCCATAGGTTTGAATCCCAGTACCCACAAGGTAGCTTACAACTATGGGCAACTCAGGTTTCAGGGAAGCTGTGGGCATCAGACATGCAGATGTACATGCAGGCAAAACATTCATGCACAGAAAGTTAAGTCTAGGGGCCAGAAAGATGGCTGAGTAGTTAAGAGCACTATTTTTCTTGCTCTTCCCTAAGTCCTGACTTTAATTCCCAGCACCCACATGGCGGCTCACAACCATCTATAACGAGGTCTGACGACCTGTTCTGGCATGCCAGTGTACACGCAAATAATAATGATGATGATGATGATGATGATAATAAACCCAAACTACTAGGTGTCTATAAATTGTAAAAAACGATTATATTTTGTTTAAACCAAAAACCTTAATATAATTTCTGTTCAAACATTGTAGAATCTAATTAGAAAATGGACAGACAGCCCCTCCTGAACCTGGAGAACAGCACGGGACTCACTGGGTTGCTTCTGTAGCCAGGCAGACTTGGGTCAGACACATTTCTAGTGTAGGATATAAAATTGTGCCCAATCTTTCTGAACCTCACCTTCACTTGTCTACAGACTGGGGAACATCTATCCGTGTACACAGTAGACTGTGGGGATGAAAGGTAAGGTGGAGAGGACTTGGAAACAGATTGTTCATATAGGTGTAAATATACTCACTGTACATGTAGAAATGTATGTATTACTTATAGAGATACCAAACGTAAAATGTGTATGACACAGATGTTCATATAATATACAAACATATATGTATGTAGAAAATAACTGGGGGGGGGGGGCTGGAGAGATGGCTCAGTAGTTAAGAGCTGCTCTTCCAGAGGACTCAGGTTCAATTCTTAGCATCCACATGGCAGCTCACAACTGTCTGCAAATCCTGTTCCAGAGGATTCAATACCCTTACATAAATGTACAAGCAGGCAAAACACCAATGCACATAAAATGTAAGTTCATAAATTAAAAAAAATATCTATATAGTCGGATGTGACTTTGAATACCTTTACCCCTCTACTACTTGGGAGGTAGAGGCAGAGGCAGATGAAGGTCTATCTCTGTGAGTTTGAGGTCAAAATGGTTTGCATAGCAAGTTCCAAGACAGTGAGGGCTACACAGAAATACTGTCTCAAAGAACAAAATGAGAGCCAGAGACTGTTTGGTGGTTAAGAACACTTGCTCTAGCAGGGGACCTAGGTTTCATTTCCAGAATCTACATGATGGTTCACAACAATCTAGAATTCCAGTTCCCAGGAGTCTGACATCCTCTTATGTCCTCTGGGGCACCAGGCACGCATGTGGTACACAGACACACATTGGAACAAACACTCGTACACATAAACAAATAAATAAATCTACAAGAACAAAAGACAATCCAAAATAACCAGAAAACCCAACCCAAACAAACTATACATGCACAGATATCCTATACAGCTTAGCACACAGTAAGTCTTCAAATGTTAGCTGGCTTTTTCCTTTTAAAACATTTTATGTTTGTGTCTGATTATCCATGTATATGATGTGCCTGTAGGCTGTGTGTGACAGGTGTCATCTCAACAATCCAGTTTTCGACCTTTTTTCCCCCTGCATGGATCTATGCTCTTTTGTTTTTTCAAGACAGGGCTTCTTTGTGTATACAGACCTAGCTGTCCTAGAACTCACTCTGTAAACCAGGCTCAAATTCAGAGATGTGCCTGCCTCTGTCTCCTGAGTCTTGGGATTATAGGTGAGTGCCACCACCACCTGGCGTGGATCTATGTTTATGTGGTGTGTGCAGAAGTGTGCTCAGAGGTGAAAGGACAGTATCAAGTATCCTGATGCATCATTTTATATCTCATTCCTCTGAGACAGAATCTTTCTCCTTCCTTCCTTCCTCCATTTTCTTTTGTATGTACAGGTGTTGTCCACATGTAAGTGCAACCCACACAAGCCCTGCACGTGGAGGCCAGAAGAGGCATTAATGATGAGGATCTGAGGCTCGGGAACTGGAGTTTACCTAACGGAAAGCGGACATGTGGGCGCCGGGAACTGAACCTGGAAAAAGTACAGTGCACAGTAATTCTCAGTGGTTTTGTCTCTGCCCACCATAGCAGTGGTTACAAGCATGAGCAGCAACTCTGGCTTTTTATGTGGGTCCTGGTCCTTATGCTTGTTTAGGAAGCACTCTTGCTGAGCCCACCTCCATAGCCTTCACATGCTGGTATTTTAAATCAATGACAGTCTTACATAACCAGAGAGCACAAGGGAGACAAACAAACTGAAGGATTTTTGTGATGCTCAAGTTATTATTTAAGTGTCAGTCATGGGGGCTGGTGAGATAGCTCAGTGGGTAAGGTACTTGCTATCAAGCCAGACATGGAAGGGACAGATAGCTTCATATTTAGAGACAATCACAGTCAAAGTGTTTTTCTTGAGGACTGCTAAGCTGCAATAGATATGTCATGTGGACAGATGTGTGAACAATACAAACAACAATTAAAGAATAACTCTATTCAAGCGCTAGACAACTTTTAGTATTGTGAAGAGATGCTGAGTTCTGTAATTCTACCTTAATGCTTAAAGTCTAAAGGTGAATACAAATGAGCTAAGCAGAGAATGAAAAGGACCCAGGCAGCAGCTTCACGAATTAGGAAAGACACCTTTTCTCTTTGTATTTGCCCCAACAGAAGAACCAGCAGCCCATGACACTTACCTCCTTGTGAGTTTTGAAGTTAATTTACTAAAAAGATTAGTGGAACCTCGGCTTCGAGTCTGGGACAATGGTGTGGCTTCGTGGGACAAGCTGGGTGAGGCAGGTGGGCCATTATACGTTGCGGTTCGCCGCTCTCGAGGTTGGCCGTGGAAAGTGCTGCGGCTGGCCGTGCCTCTTGGGAAGCGAATCCGATCTGGGGTGGTGGCACTGCTAATACTGTGGGTGGAAGCAACTGGAGTTCTCTGGTCTGGAATAGTGCTAGTAAAGCAGAAAAAGAGATGTCTTTGTTCCCAAAATTGCATATGAACACAATATAACTTCTACACATAGTGAAGTCAATCAGCCACTGTGAACTGAGATCCAAAGGGTACTTTAAAACAGGACTTAGGAGCAAAAGGGAAGCTCAGTGGGAAGGGATATCAAAGGGACAGGACAAAAGACAAAGCTGAAAAGGGTTTAGGGTTACCATATACATACATTTCAAGGACAAGATTAACATAGGGTGAAGAATGACTAACTCAAGCTTTCCCCCTCTACTTCCCTTTCAAGCTGCTCACACACAGAAAACTGTGCCACCAAAAGGAAAAAAAAAAAAAAGGCTTGCATGTGAAAAGGAATAGGCAACCAAAAAATTTTCAGAAGCACACAGATGGCATAAATATAAAATCCCACATGCTGAAAGTCAGTCAGGGTAGGGATTTCTTATACTCTGTAGTATGCCAAGGCATGAAGACAGGCATATACATACATACAGACAACACAGACAAAATGAAACAGGGTGTGCTTACTGAAACTATAGGGAGAAAGAACATCTTGTGGACAACTATAACAAAATCTTGAACCACAAGATCCACAGCACAAACTTAAGCAGCAGTGGGTACACATTAGCTTCACGAGGAATGTGCATGTTTCTTACATAGCCTTGAAGTTATCTCCTTCACTGTCTATTGGAGGTAACATCATCTTGGGGTGCCCAGAGGCTGACATGGACATCGACTTCTGATGTCTCAGCCGACAGGTAGATGTGGCACAGAGTGAGGCAGGGCTAGCTGCATAAGCGAACACTTCTGTCAGGCTGGGAGAGGGTTTGGGTTCAGGCAGAGGCAGAAACAACAGTGTGATGGAACAGTGACCGAAGAGCAGCCTGCTGTCTGTCTAATGCACACAGCTTCTCCCCAGACCCCTGCAGACCTCCAGAGACTGAGAATCTCTTTAACTTGTTTGGGGACTTTGGGCCAATTGCTGGCCTGTAGTTGCTTTTGCAAATAGCAGTTTAAGAAGTTCATTATCTTAAAGAAAATAACAGTTTGTGTTGAGTTCTTCTATATGTGCCCTCTAAGCTCTGCCTAAAATTAAAACAGATCCCAAAGATGTCCCTATATGAATTTAGGTGGTAAACTCTAAGCTCTGCCTAAGATTAAAGCACATCCTAAAGATTTCCCTATATGAATTTAGGCAGTAAAGCAAACATGGCATAAGCCCATAGTACCTTTCACCTGCTCCCTTTAAATGAATGATTAAAATCATGGGCATAGAAATTTATTATTACACAGAGTATCAGACCTCATTTGAACAACACAGTTGAGAACCTTCCCACTCAGAAGACATTTGCTCCCTTCTCATCAAGATGGGAAAACTCAGCATATGGACTATTTATGAAAGAGTATCACAGTGATTTAAAGCCTTCACTGTTACCTTGCACACAACTTCAGACATCTCACTCACATAGAGTAGTACCTTAGTTTTCTCTTTTCACCTTTACATGGGTTCTGAGGATCAAACTCTAGTCACTAGGCTGGTATGGCAAAAAATGACAAATGCCTTTCACCTGCTAAGCTGTGTGTCTCATTGGCCTGCCTTGTGTACTCTGATCTGTTCAGGTCCAGACAGTGGTCAGCACATGTGATTGTCCTGCCCAGATGCTGGCGATTATTACCAAACTGGGAGGGAGGACTGACATGTGCGTGGAGCACAGCAAGGAGAGAGAAAGCAGGCATGGTTTGGACTCTCTGGAACACATACGTGGTCTTAGAGATCTGGGAGAAGGAAGGGGCTTAGGTGTAGAGCAAGAAGTAGCTACAAGGTCTGGCCCAATAGTCCAGGCAAGACCTAAAGGTACATGGGCATAAAGAGAGCATGTGCAGATACTCCACCTTGAAGTACAAGACCTAACTAACGTATAATTCATATTTTAATTATGAGCCATGTGTGTGTGGGGAGAGAGAGAGAGAGAGAGAGAGAGAGAGAGAGAGAGACAGAGACAGAGACAGAGACAGAGACAGAGAATGAATATGCCTGAAAACTCTAGTAGAAGAGGGTACTAGATCTGCAGCTTTGGTCCATTACAAGAGCAGTAAGTGCTCTTAACCACTGAGCCATCTCTCCAGCCTACCACCCTCTACTCTCGTTCCCACTTTGTTTTGTCTTTCTGAAACAAGAGTTTTGCTGTGTAGCCCTAGCTGTCCTGGAACTCACTATGTAGACCAGATCGGACTCAACCTCAGAGATCCAACTGCCTCTGCTTCCCAAGTGCTAGTAGTATTAAAGACATGCACCACCAGACTGGCAACATATCTGTTAGGTCCAACACCTTGATTTAGTGTTTGCTAAATTTCAAACAGATACAAATTCTCAAAATGACACATACATAGACCCTACACCAATCACAATCGATGACATATTCTAGAAGTTCATCAAGTTGGATGTTATAAAAAATTCAAAAGGGCCAGGTAGTGGTGGCACATGCCTTTAATCCCAGCACTCAGAAGGCAGAGGCAGGCAGATCTCTGAGTTCGAGGTCAGCCCAGTCTACAGAGCAAGTGCCAGGACAGCCTCCAAACCCGCAGAGAAACCCTGTCTTGAAAAACAAACAAACAAACAAACAACCATCCCCCAAACCAAAACAAACAAACAAACAAAAGGTGCTGGGTGGTGGTGACAGTGCACACCTTTAATCCCAGCCATGGGAGGCAGAGGCAGGCAGATCTCAGTGAATTTGTGGCCAGCCTGGTCTACAAAGCGAGTTCCAGGATAGCCAGGGCTGTCCCACAGGAAAAACCCTGACTCAAAAACCACCTCCTGCAGAAAAAGACCCTCTTACTTGTAAGAACTGTGATTAGATGTATGTGCCACCACCCCGGCCTCATTTTAGAAGTCTAATATAGTGGTTTTCTTTTTTCTTAGTTTCTTTTTTGGGGGAGGGGGACAGGATTTCTCTGTGTAGGCCTGGCCAACCTCTTCCTCCCAAGTGCTGGGATTAAAGGCATGTGCCACCACCACCTAACATCATGCTTGGTATTATCAGAGATCATTCCTGTGTTGGAATTCTATACAACCTCATATGGGAGACAATCCAGCATAGTTAAGACTAATAATGGAACGTACTGTTTTCACAAGTCAATGGGCACCAACACCCTGTAGTTCCTGTGTATTTTAAACGAGTAAAAGGAATTAAGATCTGTGGTTGAGAGAGGAGGCAATCATGATCTAGGATAGAGATCCATGAAACAAAAATGCCTAAAACATGGAAGCCATTCTCTAAGGACAGTTAATTCTTAAATGTTGGAGGCTATTGTTATGGGAGATAACAAGTTACTTGTTTCCACTACCTTAAACAAATTTGTTTGACCCATCTGCACTGGATGGGACATGTATGATCACATGTGGTTAAGAAATACTTAGGCAGGGCCGGGAGTTGGTGGCACATGCCTTTAATCCCAGCACTCAGAGGCAGGTGGATCTCTGTGAGTTCAAGGCCAGCCTGGTCTCCAGAGCGAGTGCCAGGACAACATCCAAAGCCACAGAGAAACCCTGTCTCGAAAAACAAAACAACAAAAACAAACAAACAAACAAAAAACAAAACAACAACAAAAAAGAAGTACATAGGGAAATGCAATGAATTATGGGTTTTTCTTCTTAAGCCCTTGCCACACTTGATTCTGGACCATTTTCTGGGGGACCTGGGCATGGACCTGGCTAGTATTTAATTAACACTTGCTTCAAATTTGGCTTTAAACTGTGGTAATGGTCTTATTCTCAATCAGTGGGATTAACACCTGGTCTATAGAGCATGCTCTAGGACAGCCAGAGTTGTTACAAAGAGAAAGCTAGTCTTGAAAACAAAACAAAAATAAGATTCAGCAATGATTTCAAGGAAGAGAAAAATCTCATGCAATCTCTAGGGGTTTACACCTGCTCTAGGCAAGTGCTCCACTACTGAGCCACATCCTAGCCCTGTCTGTGACAGTCTCACTCAGTAGCTGGAACTAGATTTGAACCATGAAGTACTTCTTCCTAAACCTCTTTGTAGCTGGAATTAAAGGCCCATGCAGCCATGGCTAGGCTTTACAGTTTTCCCCTTCATTTTTAAGATTGAAAGAAAGAAAAAGGAAATGCATATACAACATTTAAGGACAACCTGGGATAGAGGGGAGATGAAAACTAAAAACTCCTCAAACAAACAAAACCCACAGGTTCTGTCTGGCAGGGTGTGATATTGGGACTGTTTGGCTAAAGACAAAGATAACATCTTCAAACATCTGTCTAGTATGGTGATGGTGCATGTCTTTAATCCCAGCACTCAGGAGGCAGAGGTAGATGGATTTGAACTAAGAAAGTCTGTTTCAAAAAAAGGAAAAGAAAGCATTTGTCTGTCTTTTGTCATCTTCCTCCTTTTTGGTGTGTCAAACGTGGTGTATACCCCTGCTTGTCAAATGTTTTCTATCACTCTCTACCTTTTACTGCATTTTGGCTAGGCTGACTGGCTAGCCAGCCCCTGGGATCTGCCTGTCTATACCCCAGAGCGCTAGAGTTACAGGTATGCACAGCCATGCTGGGAATCCAAACTCATAACCCTCATACTCACAGAGCAAGTGCTCCTTATCTACTGAGTCATCTCCCCAGACTGAGCAAAGTATTTTCAATGAATGTTGCTGAGAGAAGCAAACATGCCCTGGTAGGATACAGGCAACACAACCCCCAAAAGAGGATATCTTCAGGAGAACATAGAGAGGAAACTGCAAAGAAATTAAATAAAATAAAGATAAGCTGGGCATGATGGCTCATGCCTTTAATCCCAGCACTTAAGAGGCAGGTGGATCTCTGAGTTCGAGGCCAGCCTGGTCTACAGAATTTCTTCCAGGACAACAAGGGCTGTACAGAGAAACCCTGTGTGTGGTGGGGGGTTAGGGGGTGGGGATTAAATAAAGACTTCTTCAAACTTTTTTCAAAGCCTGAAAGCGATTTAGAAAAAGTGAGCTGGTGAATTAGAAAAACAATTGAGAGGCTAAGTGTATGCACATGCAGACAGCCACAAAGAGAGAGCAGAGGTGGCTGTGTACCCTAACACTTTTACACCGAGGGTTTGTGCTTAACAAGCTTTCTTCTGCTTATGCAGTCCAGAGAATGGCACTTCCCACACTTTAAACTCCCAAAGAGAGTTTTTTTTTTTTTTAAAGATTTTATTTATTTATTTATTTATTTATTATGTATACAACATTCTGCTTCCATGTATATCTGCACACCAGAAGAGGGCACCAGATCTCATAACGGATGGTTGTGAGCCACCATGTGGTTGCTGGGAATTGAACTCAGGACCTCTGGAAGAGCAGTTAGTGCTCTTAACCTCTGAGCCATCTCTCCAGAGACAGTTTAGTAGTTTAACAACTAAGAAGCAAAGGGTCATGAAACAGCAGCTTTTGAGTCCCGTAGAAGGAAATCCCTAACAAAAATTCTAGGTTCTTCTGTTATCTTCTATTAAGTCACACGTGATCTCAGAAATCCTTGAAAGGGTTGAGAATGGAAATGTGGTAAAAGAAAGTCTACCAAACCCAGACGACTATGGAGAATAAAGGCTGGCAAGTGGACAGTGAATGAGCACACCTGCTACCATGCCTCATGACGAAAGTTTCATCCTCTGACCTGGAAGGGGGAAAAGAAAGACCACCTGCTGAAAAGTTGTTCTCTGACCTTTACATACGCAAGCTGAAGACTCAATGACGGACTGTCTAAATCAGGCCTGCGGGAATGCTTGTGAAAAGCTGTCTTAATTATATTAGTTGATGTGGGAGACTCAGCCCACTGGGTGTGAAGTCCCTGGGTTTGAGTCCTAAACTGTATGAGTAGAGAGAATCAGTTGAGTACATGCATTCAATTCTCTCTGTTCTTGCCTGGGGATGTGACCAGCTGCTTTGAGCTCTGCCTTGGTGGCCCCACAGACATGAGTGGACTATAGCATGGCTTTGTGAACCCAATAACCCTGTCACCTGTAAAGCAGCTTTCATCAGGATACTTTATCTCAATACTCTAGGGGCAAAGGGATTACTCCAAATTCAAGGACAGCTACTTAGATAATGAGTTCCGGGTTCTGAGACCTATTTCAAAACAGAACCAACAACAAAAATACAAACACAAACAAACCAGCCACCTACACAGAAAAACAAAAAGCCCCACAAAAGACCAGATTTTTTTTTCTTTTTTTGGTTTTTTGAGACAGGGTTTCTCTGTGTTGCTTTGGAGACTATCCTGGCTCTTGCTCTGGAGACCAAGCTGGCCTTGAACTCACAGAGATCTGCCTGCCTCTGCCTCCTGAGTGCTGGGATTTAAGGAGTGCACCACCAATGCCTGGCTGGCCAGAAATATTTTAAAAAATTCACTGATAAGGGGCTGGAAAGATGGCTTAGAGGTTAAGAACACTGGCTGCTCTTCCAGAGGATCAGGGTTCAATTCCCAGCACCCACATGGCAGCTCACAACTGTAACTCCAGTTCCAAAGGATCTGACACCATCACACAGACATACATGGAAGAAAAACACAAATGCACATGAAATAAAAATTGTAATAACATAAATATAATAAACATAATGTTACAAGATAAGTACAGCTGACCAAAAGTTCTAATAACACACGAACGGGTTTGATATTAGGGGTCTGACAGCTAACTTGATAGGATCTAGATTTGCTTACGAGACAAGCCTCTAGGCACACCTGTGAGGGATTATCTAGTGTGGTTCAGTGAGGTGGGAAGAATCATTTTAACTGAGGGAGACACCACCTCTTGGCTGGGTCCCAGACTGCAGAGACAGGAGAAGGTAATTTGAGCACAAGCACTCGTATCTTTTTTTGTAACCTGACTCTGGGTGTGGTGTGAGCAGCTGCATCAAGCTCCGCAGCCATGGCTTCCCAACCTGATGAACTATACTCTGGAACTGAGAGCCCAAATAAGCCCTTCCTTCCACGTTTTGTTGAGGTATTTTGTAGGAGAAGTAACTAACAAATATGCAGGTGGATCTTTCTAAGGCAGTCACAGAGGTCAATAGTCACACATGGTGTCTAAATAATGGGATCAAACAGACTATAACAAACCAATGTCACAAGACACATGTGGCAGTACACACCTGTAACCCTAGTACTTGAGGGTGGAGGCAAGAAAACCGGGAATTCAAGTCTCCAGTAAAAAAGAATGACTTCCACCCTAACCCAGCACTTTCCACTTTCCACTGTTAGCTGATCCCTGAGGTTTCACACGTGCATGTCCAAAAACAGCGTATTAATGCGCGCGCGCGCACACACACACACACAGACACACACACACACACACACACACACACACACAGACACACACACACACACACACACACACACACACACACACACACACACACACACACACACACACAGACAGACACACACACACACACTGACCAAACAGTAGACACGATTCAAGCCAGAGGGCAGCAAAAGGCAATGTGAACTCATCTTGGAGTTCTCTGAGACTTACTCTGACTTTCCTCACCTCTCTGGTTTATTCTGTACACAGAAAGGTAAGCATTTAACAAAATCCCAAAACTAGATTTCTTTTTCCTTTCCCCCCAAATCAACAGTACTTCATGGTTTCTGGATCCATCTAATCCCATTTTCTTTTATCCTCTTTTTCTGGAACAGGGATCTTGCTCACTGTGTAGAACAGGCTGGTATGGAAGAGATCATCGTGTCTCTGCCTCTCCAATGTTGGGACTAATGGCGTGTGCAACCAAAGCCCAGCTTCTTCTTTTTTTGTTTTTGATTGTACAGGTGCTCACATTTAGGAAATGTCCTGAGTTTGTAAGAGACAATCAGAGGTTGTACTTTTATATATGTTTTTGCCTGCCTGTATGTCTGTGTACCACATGCATGCCTGATGCCTGTGGAAACCAGAAGAGATAATCGGATCACTAGGACTGGAGTTTACAGATGTTTGTTGAGTAGCAGGTGAGTGCTGGGAATCAAATGTGGGTCCTCTGCAAGAGTAATCAGTGCTTTTCACCAGCAGCATCTCTCCAGAGCTCATTTTTTTATTCTTATTTCATAACTCTGGAAAGCTATTTGCATGATATGCTCTTCTACTTATGGACACACAAGTAGAATATTTAATATTTAGTATTAATATTTCAATATTTAGTATTAATAGTATAATATTTCAAGGCATGCAGAAGACGAACTCTCTGTGTACCTAGAGTCTCAAGTATATTCTCTGAGGGTGAGACTATGCTACTACTGGTGCTGGGAATTAAAGAGCTGCGCCATCACCACCCAGCTGAAATTATTATTATTGTTATAATATTAAGGCACTATACCTTAACCATATTCACATCTTGTTTAAAGGAGGAGCATACACAAAATCTCCATTTCCCCACTCACCGTTTTAAAAAAAAAAAACCTTAGCGGGGCTGGAGAGATGGCTCAGAGGTTAAGAGCACGGACTGTTCTTCCAGAGGTCCTGAGTTCAATTCCCAGCAACCACACAGTGGCTCACAACCACCTTGAATGAAATCCGGTGCCCTCTGCTGGCATGCAGGCAGAAGACTGTATACATAATAAATAAAATCTTAAAAAAATAAAAAATAAAAAAACCTTGGCATGCTAAAGTTTTTCTGAAGAAATTTCACGGGTTCAGCCCCAACCTTTCCTTGTCACACACAGTCAACCATAGGAGTGGATGACCTGGACAAAGAGAAGAATCTGGAATCCTAATATCTTGCTAGAAAAGAGCATTTTTTAAATTTTTAAATTTTTTTTTTTTTTTGAGACAGGGTTTCTTTTTGTAGTTTTGGAGCCTATCCTGGCACTCGCTCTGGAGACCAGGCTGGCCTTGAACTCACAGAGATCTGCCTGCCTCTGTCTCCCGAGTGCTGGGATTAAAGGCTTGCGCCACCAATGCCCGGCTTAGAAATGAGCATTTAAAGTTGACTTACCTTTCAAAGAATAAACAGTACCCTTTGTATTTTGATTATAAAGTGAGAAGTAAGACTCTAGCACTTATTTTGCCGGTAGGTGAAATCCCATACCTGTTTTCTTTGCCATTCTGAATCACTGAGTGTCTGTCGGCTGCAGATCTCTCACTGCAGACGTAAGTGTTCCGCCGTGTCATTCCACCAGATGCTGCATTACTCTGCAAGAAAAGGGCATATTTATCTTAGACCATTTGGTAATCACAATTTAATAAGGAATTAAAAAAAAAAAATTAACAATTTCTTTACGCAAACAAAAAACTTGGAAGAGGATGTTGTCTATGTATTTGAGGGTGTGCAGGTGCCAGAGGCTGGAGGTCAATGTCTGCTTCCTCTCTACTAACTGAGGAGTGTGCCCCGCTCAACTGAGAGCTCTTCGACTGGGGTTAGACTACTTAGCCAGCTTGTCCAAGGGACATTCTGTTTCTGCCTTTACAGTACTGAAATCATAGGCAGGCGGCCATGCCCATCTGACTTTTATGTGAGTGCTGGGGTTCTGAATCCTGGTATTCATACGTGAGTGGCAAGCATTTTACCCATTAAATCGTCTCCCGAGACCAACATGGTCATTCATAAACAAACAGATAAATAAAACAATGTATGTGTTTGTACACTCTTCCCATCTCCCCCCCCTTCCCCCCAGGAACTGAACTCTGGTCATCTGCAAGAAGAGAAAACACCCTTAATTATGGAGCCATTGTTCCAATCCCTTTTGTAAAAGTCTTTAAATAAATCTAGTAATTCCAACATTTGGGAGGCTGAGGCAGGAACATCTTTGAGTTTCAGGCCACTCTGGGTTATACAGTAAGCCCTTGCTTCAAAAGACAAAAGAAAAAATTTAATATAGTATTTTAAGGAGGTCTAATATATATGTAAAAATGTATACTAATATACATGCAAATAAAATTAGAACATATCTCCATGATGTTGGGAATTTGACAACATATTAGCAGACAAAGATAGTACAACTATGAACAAGCACTTCGAGATGGCTCAGTGCTTAAGAGCACCTCCTGGCTGCTCTTCCAGAGAACCTGGATTCAATTCCCAGCATCTACATGGTGGCTCACAATCTGTCTGTAACTCCAGTTCCAGGGATTTAATGCTCTTTGGGCACCACAAATGCATGTGGCATACAGAGAGAGGCAGACAGAAACAGTCATACACATTAAAAAGAAAAAGTACTAAAGATATTGTGAAAAGAATACATACAAGACTGGACATCCTTGCAAATCTTATGGCTGATCAGTGTCTAGTACTGAAAATACACAACATAATCCCAGAATGACAACTTAAAATGGGCAACCCAAAGGCCAGTAAGATGGCTCAGTGGGTGGTGTGTTTGCTCCCAAGACTGACAACTTGTGTTTGACTCCTAGAGCACACACAGTAGAATGGGCATATATGCACGGAGTATATGCATACACATACACACACAACAAAATGCAATAAAAAATGTTTGATTGCTTTTTTGAGACAGGGCTTCTCTGTATAACAGCTCTGGCTGTCCTGGAACTCCATTTGCAGACCAGGCTGGCCTCGAACTCAGATATCTGACTGCTGGGATTAAAGGCATGTACCAATACTGCCCAGTAGGTTCCAAACCAGTGGGCTTCATATTCGGGGCCTTTCAAAGACTAAGATGGGAAAACCTATGGCAGAAGCACACTCAAAAGGTAGAGAAACTGATAAAACCATGTCCACCGTCAACCTTTGTCTTTCTTACGAGTCTGTACAGCCAAGTACATACACATGCACACACAGTATAGAAAACTCTAGTCTACACAGATTTGTGTAACAGCTCTGGCTATCTTAGAACTCGTCTTTGTAGACCATGCTGGCCTCGATTCCTGAGATCCAGAGATATGTCTGCCTCTGCCTCCTGAGTGCTGAGATTAAATGCATGTGCCACCACCTCCAGGTCACACAAGACATTTTACACAAATGTTTACAATGCTATTTTTAGGTATAAAAGGTAGAAATAATGTAAATGTCTATCAACAGGTGATCAAATGAATGATAGTCTATATGTTCCATGAAATAACACTCAAGTTCTAAAAAGAATGAAGTGTTCATACATGCTATAACTTGAACTCTCAAAATATTACCCTGAATTCAAGAAACCAAACACAAACGAGTGTATGTATGTATTTAGCTCCATTTATGTGGAGTCATCAAAAAAGGCAGCTAAGGAGCCAGTAAATGACAAGTTATCACAGTTACAGAGTATTCTGTGGTGTTGAAAAGCTCTCCAACTTAGTTGGGCAGTGGCTCATGCCTATAATTGCAGCATTTAGGTGGCTGAAGTTGTCAGCCTAAGCCACAGACATGACACCATGTTTCAAACTCCCCAACCAACAAAACAAATCTAGTGAAACAAAAAAAGAAAACAAAAACAAAAAAAAAAAAAAAAAAAAAAAAAAAAAAAGAAAAAGAAAAAAAAAGGGGGGGGGTCAAGTTCTTAAACATGTATGATGGTTGTACACACCAGCTACACTCTTAATTAGGTTGTCCTTAAACCTATGGAAGTCCAGATGCCCCTGAAACACAGACACAGGACAGACAGACTAAAGGAGGATGGGGCCCCACAACAATTTCACCAGGACTATGACAACACCAACTAAAGATCAGCTTTGGACTACAATCTGCTCAGAACAATTTCAATGAGCCCAACTGAGATGATCCAGCCTCAGACTACTCTAGCCAGGACTTGAGACAAGCCCTGAACTTTCCCATTATACAGAGACTCGACAAAAATGGTACAGCTTAACAATTAATCCAACCTTTTCTTTTTAGGATCCCTTAAAGATGCCATAGTGCCCAGACAGCAGGAAGTAACTTTAAGAATATGATGCATGATGGGTGGTGGGGGAGGCAGAGGCAGGTGGATCTCTGTGAGTTCGAGACCAGCCTGGTCTACAAAGCGAGTTCCAGGACAGCCTCCAAAGCTACAGAGAAACCCTGTCTCGGAAAAACAAAAACAAACAAACAAAACAAGGAATACGATGCCCACATTCCCAAAAGGTGGGGTGGGTGGTTTTTGCTCATTCAGAGGACTATGGAAATTGTTCATTGTTTAGGGAGATTGGTGACAAGGTGTTACTGGTAATGGGGGAAAAAAAAACAAAAAAAAAAACTAAACATGGGAGATTAGATTCAAGGTTCTTGTTTTGAAAGGAAAGAAGAGGAATACAGATATGACAGGATACAAGGGTAGATTGGTGCCGGGCGTTGGTGGCGCACACCTTTAATCCCCGAACTTGGGAGGCAGAGGCAGGCGGATCTCTGTGAGTTCAAGGCCAGCCTGGTCTACAGAGCAAGTGCAGGGAGCGAGTGCCAGGATAGGCTCCAAAGCTACACAGAGAAACCCTGCCTTGAAAAACCAAAAAAAAAAAAAAAAAAAAAACCCAAACAAAAAAACCAAAAAACAATTGGATTGGACTTTGTATACTGTATACAAATATTGCATATTGATACAAATTTGAGATTAACTTTCTTTTTTTTATTAAAGTATTTTATTTTTTTAAAGATTCTATTTTATTTATTTATTTATGCAACATTCTGCTTCCATGTATATCTGCACACCAGAAGAGAGCACCAGATCTCATAGCGGATGGTTGTGAGCCACCATGTGGTTTCTGGGAATTGAACTCAGGACCTCTGGAAGAGCAGTCGGTGCTCTTAACCTCTGAGCCATCTCTCCAGCCCCAAGATTAACTTTCTTAAAACATACTGTACATACATTTCTAATCTTGTCCAAGGTATTCTACCTGTAGAGCTCATTTAACAATGTAGTGCAAATTTATAATACTTAAAAGTTATTATTACCAACTATATAAGATAGGAAACATAGGTTTGTAATTAGTCACCTGTTACAATGGAACTTGTAGTCACATTAGGTATGTTATCAAGGTCAAACAGACATATTTTATAAAGACTGGTCTTCTTCAAACACTTGAGAGATCTACAGAATATGGCATTTAAGATGTTTTAATAACATAGGTGCACCCCCCCCCCCCCCGGGTTTCTCTGTGGCTTTGGAGGCTGTCCTGAAACTAGCTCTTGTAGATCAGGCTGGTCTCGAACTCACAGAGATCTGCCTGCCTCTGTCTCCTGAGTGCTGGGATTAAAGGCGTGAGCCACAAACATAGGTGTTTTGTTTTGTTTTATGACAATAAGAAATGTCTGCTCTTGGCAGCACCAGTCTACTTCAGAGAGGATGATGACATGGAAGAAACTCACATGGAGTTTACCTTCTTTGTGGCAAAAGTTACACTGGGCAAGAAAGTGTCCTTGCCTTGCTAACAGTATACTGTCCAAATTGGACAAGCAGGACACAAAAAAGAGAATGACTGCAAATCTTGCCAAGACAAGGTGGGACTGTCCTTCAAAATCCCACTTCACAGAAAAGTCTGTCAGAGATCCTAGGCCTATAGGCCGATGATGGATGCCCCAGTGATGCAGAGGATCCTTGGGTGACTGTCCAGGTAGCCAGTTGTGTCTGTCATTTCTCACATTTTCTGGAAGTCACCTGCTTACACTTCCTGTTTACTCAGCTAATAATATTTCCATTTCAGGTCTCTGAGGGAGTTGAAGACTAGTTAGTATATAGTTTTAATTGTTTATCAGACTCAGCAAAAAACTCATTAGAGAGGTATAAAGTGCAAAAGGTTGAGAGACATTAAAAGATAATTTGATAATGCAAATTAGAATAGAAAGTAAATTAGGTACAAGACTTTGGACTCACAAAGATAGAATAGATAAGGAGTTTTTTCTCTGAATTTGTCGAATGCAAATGGAATAGACATTGTTGAAGTAATTAGTGCCTGTATATACTGTATATACTTACTGTACTTACTGTATATAGTTTTTCTTATGTTAGTTGTAGCATTTTTGTATTAGACAAAGGGGAATTGTGGTGACATATTACTTATGATTAATTAAAGCTTGCCTGAGGGTTGCCTCAGAAAGTGTACACCACCACCACCTGGCCAATCAAAGAATTGCCTTTATAAAGATTTATTTATTTATGTATGTATTTATTTATGTATGTATTTATTTATTTATTATCCATGCAGTGTTCTGTCTGCATATATGCCTGCAGGTCAGAAGAGGCCACCAGACCTCATCAGAGATGATTGTGAGCCACCATGTGGTTGCTGGGAATTAAACTCAGGTCCTCTGGAAGAGCAGTCAGTGCTTTTAACCTCTGAGCCATCTCTCCAGCCCCCAATCAGAACCTTTAAGTGAAGATAAAGCTTTAATATATTGTGAGTGGATCATGTTCAGTGAAATTCCAAGAATGACTGGGAGAACATTTTTGGATGAATGTACCTCAACAGTCCGTATAGTAAAGACTTGATCCCTGAGGTGGGGCTCCTGGGAGGTAATAGAATATTTAGGAGGCAGGACACTGTGGCAGGGCGTGTCCATGAAGAGGATGTAGAGACTCTGGTCCAACTAGTCACTTGATTCCCACCTTCTTCTATCTCACGTCCACGTCCATGCATGAGCCATAAGCCTAACCCACCTTCAACTGGAACTAGCCCTGAACCAAGATATATATGCCTTTTCTCTTTTTAGGTTAATTGCCTCAGAATTCTGTTACAGTAATAAGACTATATAATTGTGCTGTGATGGGGGAAGTCCTTCTGTATATATGTTTTTCTTATTAGTTGATGAATAAAATACTATCTAGCCAATGAGGCAGGAAGACAGGCAGCACTAGGATGAGGAGAATTCTGGGAAAGGTAGGCAGAGAAGGTCCATCTGATCAGTCGCCATGTGGAGCCCGGGAGGGTAGGATGCGCCAGGCATGGTAAGATAAGGCCATGTAGAAATACATAGAATGATAGAAACGGGTTAATAATTAAGACAAAGTGTGCCAATAAGAAGCCCTAGCCACCGGGCAACAGTTTTATAATTAATATAGCATCTATGTGTTTATTTGCGGCTGAAGTGCTTGTGGGACCAGGCTGGTGGGGTGGGAACTTTCATCAACATTGCTGTTACTTACTATTCTTTATAAATAGGTAAATACTGGCAGTTGACAATATCGAGGATATACATTCAACTTGTGAGAAACAGGGTGAAATGTCACAAAAAATGGGGAAGAAAACACCTATCTTCTACTGTCAAGTGAAACTGAATTTAAAATGCAGGAGACTGAGTCAGGTGGTGGTGGTGCACACCTTTAATCCCAGCTCTCAGGTGACAGAGGCAGGGAGATCTCTGAGTTCAAGGTCTACAGAGTGAGTTCCAGGACAGCCAGGGCTACACAGAGAAACCCTGTCTCAAAAAATCAGAACAAAGCCCTCTACCCAAAAAAGTAGGAGAGACTGAAATTAAAGTACAATGCTACAACCCCACTTTAGAAGACATTTGGAAGCCAAAATACATTTTAAATATTTTATTCTGATTAGACACAATGCTAGAGGATGAAATAGACAAAACCCCTTGGATTTCCTTGTGAAGTTCTAACACCAAAACATAATGAAGGGTCCCTTTCTGGGATTTTCTATGGGTAGAAGGGCTGCACTCCTATCAATTTGGGGGGGAAACCATGCTGATAGATAACCTCAACACTGTTCATTGTTCTGTGCTAATAATAATTACCATTTCCATTCTCAGGAAAAAGGCCCTTGAAACTATAACAAGCAGGAACTACTTACTGAGGGACTGTACTAAGGTTAAGGACTCCGATCTGTAAGATTAGCATACCACTTAGTATCTTTGCTTCCCTTTTTTTACCTGTGGTTAGTTAGCCAGTGCAGAAAGGTCTCAGTGCAAACACTTTCCCTGGAGTACAGTGACTGTTGGCAGTGTGCACATCAGCTTCTGCCCAGGTTGCTTCTGCACTGCCACTATACAGATAGTCGTTGTCTCTGGGGTCTGACCTAGCATGGAGAATGTGCTGTGGCTGTCTGAGCTGGAGCTCTGGATAAATGAGCTCCAGTGCAACAGTGTCAAGAACTGGGGCTTCCTGGTCACTGGTGCTTTACAAAAGGGAGGAAGGACAAATTCATCCCTTCTGCCTGATGATGGTACCATGTCCTCACCTCTGCAGCACGTGGCAACAGAATGCTATCTTGAAAGCAGCAAAGACAGTATCCCCCCATTAGACAGTGAGTCTGCTGGAACCTTAACATTAGATTTTCCAGCCTCTAAAATTCAAGAAATATTTCTGTTTCTCATAATTACATCTCAGATGTTCTGTTATAGCAAGACGAATGAATTAAAAAACAAAACAAAGCTCTTTCCCAATCTTTTTCCTGCTGTTTCCATGGGGCAGACAGGACTTTTCCTGTCTCCCTATTCTCTTCTGTCCTCTCTCTGTCTCTCCCCCCCACTTCTAATAAAACTCACAGATAAAAAACAAAACAAAACAAACAAACAAACAAACAAAAAAAACCCCAGGGATTATCAAAAGAATCACCTACAATTCAGGAAGCGGGGCATATCAGCCTGGAGGAAAGAAACTGTAGGCAAAGAATAGAGAGTAAAATGCAGGGGTGAGACTAGCTGGGAAAAAGAAAAGAAAAGACTAGCTGCCTCCAGCCCCAAACACTGATGACTGCTCTCCTATACAACAGTACTTACACTGGGGATGGCAGGACTTTTCTTGCGCTCAGGAATATCTGCTTTATTGGGATTGCTTGCATTCCCAAGCATGGAACTGGCAGGGGCGATCCCCTTTCCTCCTACAGCTGTGCCGCTTGACTTTCGGGAGGGAATTCCATCTTCTTTGAGGTCGCTATCTGCAGTGCTCGTCTGACTCCTCTTTGGATATGCCACAACTGAAGGAATAGCTGGTCCAGCTACAATAAAGAGTTCACTCTTTAAAAGACAGAATGAAGTATCATACTTATTCTGTAAAAAATAACATTTTGTAAAACAATTTAAATTTCTATTCACCTGTAATTATTTATTTATTTTTTTGTTTTTGGAGACAGGGTTTCTCTGTGTAGCTTTGGAGCCTATCCTGGCACTCGCTCTGGAGACCAGGCTGTCCTCAAACTCACAGAGATCCACCTGCCTCTGCCTCCTGAGTCCTGGGATTAAAGGCTTGCGCCACCAACGCCCGGCTTTTACCTGTAACTGTAAACTAGTAAAATTTTCCATTTGATTATTAAACAAAAATCCTACTCTTAAAAAAGACCATGAAAGAATAACAAATTGAGTTGCCTTTCGGAAACAACACAGTGTCATTGTCTAGAAGATCACTAAACAAATTAACTAGACAAACAGGCATCATGAAGAACAAACTATTCTGGTACAGTCAGGCAAATTATAGCCTTTAGTATGAGATACTGTCATTTTGTCAGAATATGACAGCACAGATTTCATGTTCCATTTCTTTTGAAAATTTATTATGTCTTTAAAAAACCACCAATATCTGATGGGGGATTCCTTCTGTATGATGTGAATATATGTTTCTCTTATTGGTTGATGAATAAAGGTGTTTTGGACAATGGACAAGCAGGATTTAGCCAGATGGGAAATCCAAACTGGGAGAGAGAAAGGTAGCCACCAGGGAGGTGGGATGCCCAGGCATTCTCTGGTAAGATAAGACCATGGAGATATTAATTAATAGAAATCAATAATTAAGAGACAGCTAGCCAATAAGAAGGCTGAGTAACAAGCCAAATAGGTTTAATTAATATAAGCCTGTATGTGTTTATTTGGGACTGAATGGCTGAAGGACTGGGTGGGACAGAAACTGCTATCTACAAATATTGTAGATAAGGAAGAAAATGAGTATATTAGGGAAGGCAATAAAGCAGAGGAAAAAATGTTCCTTTAGGAAGAACCAGCTAGGGGAGAAATGGTCACAGCCGTGTTCTAGTACAGCACAGACAATGAGGAACATGGTAGATAATTAACTGGTCTCCTAAGTTAGCCACCCAGAGGCTCCAACGTTAACGCTGGAGATCTGGAATACAAACAACTGGAAATGACACGGGTAAAATGTTCGTTTCCCCCTCCTAAACCTTACTCTATAGGCCAGGCTGGCCTTGAATCAAACAGAGCTCTGCCTTCCTCTGCCTCCTAAGTGCTGGGATAAAAGCACTGCCCAGTGCTAATGATTGTGGTTTGAATTTTAAAAATTATACTTATTTGTGAGGACACACACATGCTGACCCAATTTATTCCTCCCGTTGCTTACCAGGATATTTCCTTTCTTTCTTTTAAAAAGATTTATTTATGTGTGTGAATGTTCTTCCTGAATGTAAGCATATGATCCACAGAGGCTAGAAGGTGTCAGAACCCCTGCAACTAGAGTGATGGATGGTTGTGAACAAATATGCCAAGTGATTGGGACAAAAACAACAAGTGCTTGGAACAATCCCTCTCTAAGCCATCCTTCCAGCCCCTGAGTTACTCTTTCTGTTCAATTAGCTCCCTTCACTAGGGCTGGAGACATGGCTCACAGGTTAAGAGCACTGCTGCTCTTCCAGAGGACCTGAGTTCAATTCCCAGTGTGCACTAGGCAGCTCGCAACTGTCTGTAACTGCATTCTAGGGAATCTGGCTCCCTTACACAGACATACATGCAGGAAAAACACAAATGCACAGAAATAATAATTGAAAACCAAACCCAACTCCCCTTGACATATTTCCAAGTTGTTGTGTGCAAGTTACTTCCCCTTTTCTTCTCTTTAAAAACTTTTTAACGGTCATTTATTTAATGTGTGTGTACATACATGACAAAATGTGTATTCAGAGGTCAAAGAACAGCTTGCACAAATATGTTCTCTTACTCCACCATATGAGTCCCACGCTCCAGATTCAGGGCTTTTCAACCAGCGACTCGCATGGCACTCTTTTTTTCTCCTTTTGGTGTGTGTGCCATGTGTTGAGGCCAGAGGTTAAATACACATGCCACTTTGTACAGATTTATTTACTTGTGTGTATGTGTTTCCCTTGGTGGGTTTATGTGCATCACGTGCATGCAAGAGCTCATGGAGGACCCTGGGTCCTTGGAGCTGCAGTCACAGGCAGTTGTGAAAGGACACTTGTGTGCTGGGAGCCAAACTGTAGCCCAACACAGGGGAGCAATTAAGTGTTCTTAAACACTGAGCTCTCTCCAGGCCCGGGACCATATTACATTTAGATCAAGTGATATTCCCAGTAATAACACTCAGTAATAAGTATTATCATAAAAATAAAAGGCTGGGTAGTGGCAGCATACACGTTAATCCCAGTACTCAGGAGGCAGAGGCAGAGGGATCTCTGTGAGTTCCAGGCCAGCCAGGGCTACACAAAGAAACCCTATCTCTGAAAAACAAAAAAATAAAAAGTAACAAATAAAATAAAATAAAATGGTAATATTTTATACTATAAAAGGATTATAAAAGTAAAAATATAGGACTGGAGAGATGGCTCAGAGGTTAAGAGCACTGGCTGCTCTTCCAGAGGTCCTGAATTCAATTCCCAGCAAACACATGGTGGCTCACAACCATCTGTAATGAGATCTGGTGCCCTCTTCTAGCCTGCAGGGACACATGCAGACAAGAACACTGTAAACATAATAAATAAATCTTTAAAAAATAAAAATATCAATTTGAAAAAATATTAGTATTCTAATGTCCTACAGCATCAAAAAATTCAGTCAACATTTAATTCTCATCGGGTGTGACATAGGCCTTTAATACCAAAACTCAGGAGGCAGAGGCAGGCAGATCTCTAGAAGTTTAAGGCCAGCCTGATTCTATATATCAAATTTTAGGCCACCTAGGACAACAGAACAAGACCCTGACTCAACAAAACAAAGCAAAACAAAAATTAACAACAAGAAAAAAGATCTATGCAGAAATAACAAGAATGGGTTATCTCATTAGCATGAAAAACTCCCTTTTAATAAAATAGTAGCACCACATGCATACAAAAGAATTACTTTTATCATTTATCAGTGACGTTTGGCTCTATATGCCTATAAACCTGGGGACACACAGAACATTCTCTGGTGAAAATGAATTGTAAGTGGATAAAAGTCCTGGTTTAGTAGGGATGAGGAGTCAGCTCTACTCCAGGCATTGCTCATTTGCTCTGTCCCCGGGGAGAGTTGCTGACATCCTTTTCTCATGCCTTATGATAAAACGAAGGGTAAGCAAGGATATGGTTTTAGTTCTAAACCCCCCTTTAATTTATTTACTTATTTTTATTACATATACAGTGTTCTGTCTGCATATTTGCCTGCACACCAGAAGAGGGCACTAGATCTCATGATAGGTGTTTGTGAGCCACCATGTGGTTGTTCGGAATTGAACTCAGGACCTCTGGAATAACAGTCAGTGCTTTTAACCTTTGAGCCATCTCTCCAGCCCCCTAAAGCCCTTTTATCTCTAGAAAAAAGTGATTAGAAATGCAGGGGAAACCTATATGTTTAAGGAAGAATAAACTTACTAAGGTTATTCCCTTGATAAATGAGAAAATTCCACTGGATTCTTTCAGGATTTAGGAGTAATTCCCTTTAAATTAGGTATCTTAAAGGGCAGTATGCATGCACCCAAAGTTGGAATTCAGGACACATGCCCTGAAAAGTTCCTTGTTAGCTAACATGAATACACAGGAAGACAGAGATTGACATCAGCCCTACAGACAGGGTAAGTCACGCCCTCAAACACACGGTTTTGTTGTTTTTGGCCTTCTTTCCTCCTCCCTTCTCTCTCCTCCTCAGCCTAAACCAACTTCAAACTTGGCATATAGTCAAGGATGACCTTAACTTCTTTTGAAGTTTAAAAAAAATTATTTTATGCATATAGTTGTTTTGTTTGTACATACGTCTCTGCATACATGTGCCGAGTGCCCACAATGACCACAAGACAAAGTTGAAACCCCTAGAACTGGAATCACAGATACTGTGTGCTGTCATGTGGGTGGGTGTTGGGAACTGAACACAGGTTCTTTAGAACAACAGCCAGTATGTTCTTCACCACTGAGCCAACTCTTTAGCCCTAACCTTAAATTCTTGATCCTTCTGTCTCTACCTCCCAAATACTGGGATTACAGGCATGTGTCAAAATGCCCAGGCTCAGATTTTTACCTTTAATTGAAATTAGAAGAGAAAACCATGGGACTAGAAAGATGATCCAGCAGTTAAAAGCAATGCCTACTCTCACAAAGATCTAGGTCTGGTTCCCACCATCCATACTATGGCTCACAAGCATCTCTAACTCCAGTTCCTAGGGATCTGACACACTCTTGTGGCTTCCATGGGCACAAGTGGTACACATAAATACATGAAGTTAAAACTACTGACACATGCCAGGCGTTGGTGGCACACGCCTTTAATCCCAGCACTCAGGAGGCAGAGGCAGGCAGATCTCTGTGAGTTGAGGCTAGCCTGGTCTCCAGAGCGAGTGCCAGGATAGGCTCCAAAGCTACACAGAGAAACCCTGTCTTGACAAACAAAAACAAAAACAAACAAACAAACAAAAAACCACTCACTCACACACACGAAAAGAAAAATCTAAAAGTTCCTTCATTTAAGTGCTCAACAGCCTCCTATGGTTAGTTGTTACAACACTGACTACACAAACAGAGAATGGGCCATCAGTACAGACACCCTTATCAGCTGCAATTCTCTGTACAGTTAGTTACCTGACAAAGTTGTAGAAGAGAGACATGCCTAACTACAGATGAGGTTTTCATTCTCCAAGCCTTAGCCAGCAAAGTCTAACAAATGTTCCAAATAGTTAGGGAACCTTAATCATATCAGTCCCGTAATGCTAGAAAGCTACTCTCTTCTCTGCCCCACCAGAGAACACATTCTGAAGCTACTGGAATAGTCTAGACTTACCATGGTCACTGTACCGTCTCTGCTTCTGACTTGAAGAAACACTTCTCTGCACTTTGTGATGAGGAGACTGGCCAGTGCTGTTGCTGAGGTCACTGCTTGGCCGCACCTTAGCAAGTGAAAGGTTGCTGCTAGAACTGGAGTCACTAGCGTCCAGCTATGGGAGAATGAGAAGAGCAGCAACCATACACGGAGCCCATTGGCTTGTCAGGAAACTCCTGGTGACATACTCCTCCCAGTCAAAGAGGAGCTATCACAATTACAAAACACAACTTTAAACTCAGTCAAAAGTATTTTCTGACTCCTGGAATGAGATTATATGTTAGCAGTCTTCTTCCTGACCTTTCCAAAGAATTAAAACACTATACTCTATTTCCTTTGGTATTTTAAAGCATCTTCAAACTATTAATGACTAAAGTTAATTCACGATTAAACAGGCTTGTGACATTACTGATCATACAGGGTTATTATCTTGAAGTTAAAATAGTAGGTTATGGGCTACAGAAATGGATCAACCAAAAATACAAAGTAGTAGTTTAAAATGGTCAATGAAATTAGAATACATGTAGGCAAAGTTTTAAAATACCAAATGTTATATTTTAAAAACTAAGGAAATGGTTTATATAAACTAATAATCTTTGTTTTTTTAAAAAATAAAGTGAAATCTTTTGGCGACAGGATCTTTTGTAGTGCAGACTGGCCTTGAACTCATTATACAGTTGAGGAGTGCATAAATCCCTGACTCTCTTTCTGAGTGCAAGGGCTACAGGCATTGCCATCATGCACTGCACATCGATCCTTCTAACACCGAGTGTTTAGTTTTTCCTCTCTGAACACTCTTACCTCTGAAGATTTTCTCCCCAATAATAGGTATGTAGCTGTGATTTCATCATATTTCATTTTACTAAGAGATTCTTGAATTTCTTCTTGTGAATATCCCATTCCCACCATAATATCTAAAAAATAAAATATGGTTTATATACTTTATTTGGATTGGAAATCATGCTAGCATAGAGAAAAAGAATTTCATTTGATTTAGAAGATTATATATTTCCTAACATAGAAGAAGAGCTGCTCATTGGTGCTGTTGAAGAAAACGGTACATTACGCTCCCAATTTTGCTTGTTTTTGTTTTTTGAGACAGGGTTTCTCTGTGGCCTGACTGTCCTGGAACTCTTTCTGCAGACCAGGCTGGCCTCGAACTCAAGGAGAACACCCTGCCTCTGACTCCCAAGTGCTGGGATTAAAGGTGTGTTAAGAACAGATAAGCGGATCTCTAATTCTGTGCTTACCCAACCTTCTTTTCCATCTGAGACACACACAGGATAAAACATGTATAGTACACACATACAAACACACACAAACACACACTCACGTAGACACGGGCAATTACCTATTCTTTTCTGGTCTGAGATGTCTAGTTCTGGTTCAACAAATGGCTTAAGCTCGTCTTCCTCATGCCCTGCATTGATCCACCTGTCCTTCATGATTTGCTGAAAGGTGAACTGTGTGTTAGTAGCACAGAAAAAAGTATCTCAACAATCACAATATTTAGGAACATGACTTTCAAATTTTCATTGAGTAACAAAAGGAAAGTCAAGACAATTGTTTGTTTTACTTACTACTTAAAATCCAGCAAGGGTTCGGTGTCACACAAACTAAGTAAAGTTCTGTTAAATACGTTCCCTCCCCACTGGTGTGGTTACCTCGAGAGTGCCACGTTTAACTGGGTTCAGCACCAGGAAGCGTTTGAGAAGGTTTTCACAGTCTGTGGACATGTAGAAAGGAATTCTATATTTCCCTCGTAGTACTCTCTCTCTCAATTCCTTTGAGGATGCAGGAAAGAAATATAGTTAATTTTTAGGTTAAAAACAGTAACAATAAAACCAAACTCATAAAAGCATCCATACAAATACAACATTAAAAATGTCAGTCTATACAATTTTACAAAAGTCCTTAGTTTTTGAAGAGCATGGCTGCAACTGCTTCTTATACCTTCAGGTTCTGACCGTCAAAGGGAAGTGACCCACTGACGAGGGTGTACAGAATAACGCCGAGACTCCACACGTCCACTTCGGGCCCGTCATACTTCTTGCCCTGGAAGAGCTCAGGGGCTGCATATGGAGGACTACCACAAAACGTGTCTAGTTTACTGCCAACAGTAAATTCATTGCTAAAACCAAAATCTGCTATTTTAATGTTCATATCCGCATCTAATAACAGATTTTCAGCCTAGAGAAAAAACATCAGACAAAAATGAAACTTAACTAAAATACAATTATGAGGCATTTCATAAAGGCTTACATTTCACAAGTACTTACCTCCTAGTTAGTAAATGTAAAAACACTATTTCTAGAGGAAAAAGAGATAAATTATATTCCTAATTTGATACTAACAAGCAAATAAACATTAATTATAACAAGCTTAAATACCAAATACTTCAAGGTCAAGAAAAATGTAAAAAGCTTCTTCAATTAATAAGAGGCTTTTAAAAAATACAGGTATTTGTTTTAGGTAGTTACATTTCATAAACACTACTAAATGACTGTAAAATGGGTATTGCTGGGGAAGAAGAACTCCCAACACCACCTCTAAGACAAACCAGTCAATCACTTCTGCTGATTTTAGCAGACAGGCATTAAGCAGGTGTGAGGCTGCTGTCTGGGTATAGAAGGAAGAGCAAGACAGGCCTTGTCCTCAGGGTTCCGGGTGTAGGGTGGGGAAACAGAAAGGTACTGAGCTGCCCAGATCTGAGTCCTATGGTGAGTACTGACAAACCACAAGCTCAGCAAAAGAGGGCCATGGATACTTCCCAGAGGAGGTGAAACTGGGCAAGGTGTAGACTGTTATACAAGGGCTGTTTGGGGGAAGAATAAATAAAGAATTGGAAGTCCACAGAGGGGAGAGTACATGCACTGAAAAACAATGCATGGAGAGAGATGCTCCAAAGCAATGGCTAGGAGGTAGAGGACACCAAACAAACAGTGTTTGAAACTTTAGTTTCTACCCTCCAGGTGAGAGAAAACCAGCGAAGAGTTTGTTAAACAAGGAAATGACAATTTTTTTTTCCCTTTTTTGGTTTTTCAAGACAGGGCTTCTCTGTGAATCCTTGGCTGTCCTCAAACTCAAGAGATCCACCTGCCCCCTACCTTTCAAGTGCTGGGATTAAAGGTGTGCGCCACCACTACAGGGCTGGAAATAACAATTTTATGTGTGCTTTTGTTTGGAGACAGGGTCTCATCATTTTATTCTGCCTGCCCTGAAACTCTCTATGTAATCAGCCTGGACATAAACCCACAGAAGTCCAGATGCCTCCGACACATAGACATAGATACACAGACAGATAGACACCAGACACAGACACAGACACAGACACAGACACAGACACAGACACACACGGGAGGGAGGGGGACGGACCACACATCATCCATACACATAAAATAAAGACACAATGGGAAGCAGGGAAACTAAGTTGTGTGTTTGTTTGTTTGTTTGTTTGTTTTTCCAAGACAGGGTTTCTCTGTGTAGCTTTGGAGGCTGTCCTGGCACTCGCTCTGGAGACCAGGCTGGCCTCGAACTCACAGAGATCCGCCTGCCTCTGCCTCCCGAGTGCTGGGACTAAAGGCGTGAACCACCAACATCCGGCTGTCAGTTGTGATTTTACTGATTACTATTACATGACTGTGGTCTGGCTCTGGAGAGTAGGAATGGAGTAGAACAGACAGGAAAGAGCAGCAGAAGAAGTGGTGACTGAATGGGGCTCTTGAGAAGCCAGCACCACAATGAAAACGAAAGGCCAGCTCTGGCTGCAGGAACAGACTGCCAGAGTGGATGCATGCAGGGTGGTGCTGAGAGGGACAAGCAAGGAGACAGTACTGCTGTGAGGAGAGTGGTGAAAGCGCTAAGTTAAGAACAAGTGTCTAGAGAATATGCTGGGAGACACAGAGAAGAAGAGGGTGTGTATGGAAGTAGGGTGGAGGCCAGCAGAAGTGCTCAAGTTCCAGAAACAAGAAGAGGGAAGATAGCACTGTCCATGGGTGTAGCCAACCTGAAGACCTCTAAGAAAATTGTTCTGCCAAAGGAGAGCAGAGGTGCAGTCCATGGGAGCCTCCAACAAGCACCACAGCTTACAAGATAGAATGCTTCATTTAAAAACAAACAAAAAAAAAGACCTCTTCACTATGTATCTTGGTCAAAGGGAATCAATCATTATAGAAGTTTTTTACACTTAAAAATATTCATTTATTGGGCTGGAGAGATGGCTCAGAGGTTAAGAGCACTGACTGCTCTTCCGGAGGTCCTGAGTTCAATTCCCAGCAACCACATGGTGGCTCACAACCATCCATTATGAGATCTGGTGCCCTCTTCTGGTGTGTAGATATGCATGGAAGCAGAATGTTGTATACATAATAAATAAATAAAATCTTTTAAAAAAATTCATTTATTTATTTAGGTTTTTTGAGACAGGGTTTCTCTGTGTTTCTCTCTCTAGCCCTGGGTGTCCTAGAACTTACTTGCAGACCAGACTGGCCTTGACCTCAGAGAAATCCACCTGTCTCTGCTAGAACTAAAGGTGGTGCCAACATATCTGGCTTAACTTATTTATATGCATTGGTGTTTTGCCTGCAAGTATGTCTGTGTGACAGTGTCAGATCTTGGAGTTACAGACAGTTGTTAGCTGTATGTGGGTGCTGGGAATTGAACCCAGGACCTTTGGAAAAGCAGTTAGGACTCTTAACCACTGAGCCATCTCTCTAGCCCCCAAACTCACTTTTTTCTTATTCAACAACACATCTAATTTTTGTCTGCAAAACAGCCACCGAGAGAACCATAGAGAACTATATATAACGTAATGAGGATGCTTGGGCTCACCTTGAGGTCTCTGTGAACAATCCGTTTTTGGTGGCAATACTGTACTGCAGACACAATCTAGACACAAGAAAAGTGGGTTAGTCACCAGGGGTGCAGACTCAACAATCACAACATTGATTCATCCTTACTTCTTTGGGGTTTTGTTTGTTTCTTCTGAGACAGTCTCACTATGTCTGTCTGGTTGGCCGGGAAATGGCTCTGTAAGCCAAGCTGGCCCCAAACTCACAGATACCTGCTTTGCGTCCTGAGTACTGAGAGGTTAAAGGAACATGCCACTACACCCTGCTTTGTTGTACCCATTTTTAAAGATGGTTTCGTGTACCCCAGGTTGGCCTTGAACTTTCTACAGATGACAATGACCCTGAATTCCTTCTGATCCTTCTGTTTCCAAACCCGAGTTCCAGGATTAAAGGCATGTGGTGTGCCACATTGGGTTTGTGTGGTACTGAGATGGAACCCAGAGCTTTATGGATGCTAGCAGGTTCTCTACCCACTGGGCCATATATCCAACCCTGGTAAACATATTTTCTGATGTTGAGGTTTTTATTGAAGATTCCTTTCAAATTCTGCTTTTGAATCACATCTTAAGACTTTTTGCCACTTTTCATATCTCTTCCTTTAGCTCCAATCACTCAAAGCTAACCTGATATGACAAGAACTGGAAGACACTCAAACATATTGCTGATTTTCTGGTGTTAAGTTACAAACAATTCTTTCTCTCTTTTTTTCAAGACGACATTTCTCTGTGTACACTTTGATGTCCTAGAATTCACTCTGCAGACCAGGCTGGCTCCCACCTCGCAGTGAAACAATGATTTATAGAGCCTGGGTGTTTTCTACCTTGGACTTTGAGACAACTCAACAGGTAAAGGCACATGCCACCAAGCCCGATCCCATCAATCTCTGGGGCACACATGTAGAAGGATAGAACTGAGCTACATAGGTCATTCTGACATCTACAGTCATGCCCTGGCCAATCTGTGCTTGTACGTGCATAAACACTAAATAAATACAATGTTAAGCCCTATAGATTTCATCAAGTGTGATTCACATTCACTGCTAATACAATGTCTTGGGTATGAAAAGTACTTAAAATTTTTTAATGGCAGCGGGCACTGGTGGCGTACGCCTTTAATCCCAGCACTCGGGAGGCAGTGGCCTGGTCTACAAGAGCTAGTTCCAGGACAGCCTCCAAAGCCACAGGGAAACCCTGTCTTGAAAAAATTAAAAAGAAAAAAAATTTTTTGATGGCCAGCCAATGTTCTGAAAGATTGTGTATGCTTGTTTGTGTGGAGCCCAGACGTCAACACTAGGTGCTTTTTGTCAGTTGCTCTCCAACTTTATGTTCAACTATATGTCTGTGGAGAGGACAGAGGTCAACACCGTCTTCCTTTACTGCTTCCTGTCTTATTTTTGGAACACAGTTCCTCAATTAACCTGGCTCACTGATTAGCTAGACTGAACTTCAGAGGTCTGCTGTCTCCTCTCTCCCAGTGCCTATCACCATGCTGTTTTCTGTGTGCTCTTGGGGATTTGAACTTAGGTCTGCATGCTTGCTCAGCAGGTACTTTACTCATGGAGTCACCTCCCCAGGTCTAGACCCCACTCTTCACTGCATCACTAATAGCGCTAACAATGCACTAATGGCACTAACTCATACCTGTCTAACAATGCACTGATGGCGCTAACTCATACCGGTCTAACAATGCACTGAAGGCACTAACTCATACCTGTCTAACAATGCACTGATGGCGCTAACTCATACCGGTCTAACAATGCACTAATGGCGCTAACTCATACCTGTCTAACAATGCACTGAAGGCGCTAACTCATACCTGTCTAACAATGCACTGATGGCGCTAACACATACCTGTCTAACAATGCACTGAAGGCGCTAATTCATACCTGTCTAACAATGCACTAAAAGCACTAATTCGTACCTGTCTAAATTTAGCTCTTGCTTCTTTTTCCTTCATTCTTCCATGTGCAACCAAATAGTCAAAGACTTCTCCTATAACAAAAGAAAAAAAAAAGTAAGCAGAAATCCTACACATAGGCATCAATTTTCTCACAAATAGGTAACATTCCAATTTTAACAAAATTCTAGTCTTTTTTATTTAAAAATCTTTTAGGTTTATTTCTTTTACATGTGTGAATGTTTTGCCTAGATGTCTGCAGAGGTCAAAAAAAAAGTATTTTATTCCCTTAGACCTTGAGCTCCTAATGGATGTTGTGAGCCACTATATGGCTCCTAATCACCGAGCATACTCTCTAACGCCTGTTTTTAAATTTTAGATATATTCAATGTAAGCATGAAGTAAAACATAGTCACTAAGCTATAACTGAAGCTTAAGATCTTAGTTCATGCTGGGTGGTGGTGGTGCACGCCTTTAACCCCAGCACTCAGGAGGCAGAGTCAGGTGGATCTCTGAGGCCAGCCTGGTCTATAAGAGCTAGCTCCAGGACAGCTTCCAAAGCCACAGAGAAACCCTGTCTGGCGGGGGTGTGGGGGGGGTGTGGGGGTGTGTGTCTTAGCCCACAAGGATAGTCCTCAGGCTGAGTAGGAAACCATAAGATTCTAACACATTTAACTTATCAACTTTCCATCTCTTTAGCAGGTCTCAACAGAAACTGAGCAATCAAGACGGAAAGGTAAGCCATACATGGTGGTGAACGCCTTTAACTCCAGCACATGGAAGATCTCGGGGTTCTAGGCTAGCCTGGTCTAAAGAGAGATCTTGCCTCTTTCCAGACCTCCCCTGCAAAATGAATCTGCCTGGAAGATTATTACCACAAAGCATTACTTTACTCAGCAGATGTTTTTAGTCCCTAACAAGGCAATGTTAGCTTAAGATGTGTTACATTAATTTATACTGTGGAACATGTATTTAATGGTGGAAAGATATGCCACATTCTTTTATGTTGCAATTGTTTAACTCTGTGAAGCTGTGTTACTTTGCCTGTCTAAAACACCTGATTGATCAAATAAAGAGATGAACGACCAATAGAGAGGCAGGAGAAAGGATAGTGGGGCTGGCAGGCAGAGAGAATAAAGAGCAGAAGAAATCTGGGAAGAGGACTCAAGGGGACAGCCACCCAGCTATAAAGCCAGCCATGGAGTAAGAAGTAAAGAAAGTATACAGAAATAGAGAAAGGAAAAAGTTCAGAGGCAAAAGATAGATGGGATAATTTAAGAAAAGTTGGCAAGAAACAAGCTAAGCTAAGGCTGGGCATTCATAAGAAAGATAACATTCTGTGTGATTTATTTGGGAGCTGGGTGGCAGCCCACCCCTCAAAAGAGTAAAGAGAAAAAGCAAACAAACAAAACCTAAGAAACAGCAAATTCAGTAGATCCCCTTTCCTAATGGAATTTGCTGGCTAATAGGAGAAACAATGGACACACATGTATAGAATATATCAGAGGGCCATGAATGCTGTGAAGAAAAGGAAGAAAATAACAAGAGTTTGTAGGGCACATGTTTGTACTCTGCTGACATCTGATAGAGTGGACAATGAAACTGTCAAGAGTGAAAGTCTGGCCAGGCGGTGGTGGTGCACGCCTTTAATCCCTGCACTTGGGAGGCAGAGGCAGGTGGATCTCTGTGAAGTCGAAGCCAGCCTGGTCTACAAGAGCAAGTTCCAGGATAGGCTCCAAAGCCAGAGAAACCTTGCCTCCAACCCACCCAAAAAAGAGTGAAAGTGTGCATGCATGCAGACATTAATACATACATACATACATACATACATACATACACACACACACACACACACACACACACACACACACACACACGAGAGAACAGTAAGGCAATGGAGGAGAGAGAGAGAGGGGGGGGGGAAGGTGAACAATTGGGAGAGTACAGGGTAGGGTGCAGAGTTCAGCAGGTTCCGGAAACGGCTCTGGCTAGACTCTAAATAAGGTGAGAATCAGAAGAAATAACTGAATTTGAAAGAAAATCAGAAGAGTCGGGATTCGGGGAAAGGATAGGAACCCCATGGTAAGGTCCTATAGCAATCAAGTCACACACATGAGCATGACTGACTCAGTAGGGCAAGCAGTGAGGCTCAGAACAGGGTGATTGTGATGTGAGCAGGGTAAGGGTGGTGTACCCAGCAGCAAGCCCATCACTAGGACAATGGACGCACAAGGACCAGTTCAATGTCATCTTTGACTACTGTAGTGCTTAAAATGAGAGCGCTCACACACTCTTCTGGTATTTGAGCACTTGGCTCACAGTTGTTTGGGAAGGTTTCACAGGTATGGTATTCCTGGAGGACATGTGTTCACTATGGGTGAACTCTGAGAGCTTAAAACCTCACCCTACTTGTAGTTTGTTCTGCTCTGTGCTAGTGGCTGAAGATGGGAACCTCAGCTCTCTGATCCTGCTGCCATGACTGAGGCTTGCTGCTATGCCTCCCTGACACTATGCATGCTTATTTCTCTAAAACTAAAGCCCAAATAAACTCTTTCTTCTATAAGTTGTTTTGGTCATTGTGTTTAACACAGTAAAAGTAACACACATGCATACAGCTACACAACAAGTTCATGGCTAGCCTAGGATACATGAGACCTTGTCATACCAAACAAACGAACAAAAACCATACATACCCACACGCCCAGGACAAACAAACAAACAAATACGTAAGGGCAGAAACTAAAAGTGCTTGCTACTCAATCAAGAAGATGAAGTTGGAAGAAGACAGATGTGGTCTTCCACAATCTATAACAGTGCCAGAGGAGAAGGAGCGTCAAGAGGAGCTCTAGAGCTTGGGAGCTGATAGCCTAGTTTCCAGGAGAGAACCTACCTTAAAGGAATAAGGAAGAAGGGAAAGAGCAATAAAGGAAGAAACCTAACCACATTCTGTTTTCTGTGCACATCCACGCACAAGCACAAGACCCATACATACACACATGTACATATATGACACACACACATAAAAACAAATAAAACTATTAGTCGATGAAACCTATTGACTATGCTAAAGACCATAGATGAGGCCCAAATATCCAAACCATAAATTATTTATGAACTACAATACAATATAAACCTCTTAAGAGATTCCTATAACTATGAAGCACACTCACAATAACTAAGTTTTACAAGACAAGGAAAACAATTTATAAGCCAGAAAAAAATGTTCCTATTAAAAACGTATTAACACTCAGATTAACCAGCTCACTAAAAGCCTCTAAAGGCTATTTACTTACTAAGCTGAGCAGGATTCCCGCCAAGGTCAGGGACTACATGGCTGGGATGGCAGGACAGAATGGGCAAGTTCAGAATGCCTTTATTTCTGGTGTGGGCCTTGAAACTAGCTAGCTACGGCACTCGTGGCAGGTACAACCTTTCTGAGCAATTCTAAGATTCTACCAAATGAAAAGGCACTGACAGGCAGGATATACATGCCTTTATTTCCAGCATTCAGGGGGCAGAATCAGGCAGATCTATATGATCAGCTTGGTCTACACAGTGAAAGCCTGTCTCAAACAAACAAACAAACAAACAAACAAACAAAAAACAGAAGGAAGGAGGGAGGGAGGAAAGGAGGGAGAGTTATATAGGAAGAAACTATCTTAAAAGAGAGGCTGGGTGGTGATGGCACACACCTTTGATTTCAGCACTTGAGAGGCAGAGGCAGGAGGATCTCTTAGTTCAAGGCCAGCCTGATCCAAAGAGTGAGTCTAGGACAGCCAGGGATACACAGCTAAACGCTATCTAGGGGCAGTGGTACTTACTGTTCTTTCAGAGGACCAGGGTTCAGCTCCCAGCGCCCACATAAAGAGGCTCACAACTGCCTGTAACTCCAGTTCCAGGGGATCAGATACCCTCTGTGGGCACCTGCACCCATGTGGTACACAAAAATTCATGCAGCCTCATCCATATACATATAAATAAAAGTAATAAATCTTAAATAAGATAAAAATTAACACAAAATATACAGTCAATAATGAATTCAGGGTATGGAAGAATTGGTGTTGGTTACATCTACTATAACACATTCTATACTGTCACAAAGCTTATAATTGTTTTTGAATATTTAAAATTGTCTTATGTATGTGGCTGTTTTGCTTGCATATATGTCTGTGTATCATGTGTGAGCATGGTGCCCTTGGAGGCCAAAAAAGGGCGTTGGATCCCCTGGAACTGAAGTTAAAGGTGATTGTGAGCCTCCATGTGGGTGCAGGATGAACCTGGGTTCTCTGCAAGAGCAGCAAATGCTCTTAACCACTGAGTCAGTCCCAAAAAACTTACAATCTTGATTTAATAGTTCATTTACAACAATAAAGCTATGATTGAACTTTTTACTTCTAGGTTTTACAACTTGGATGAATGAATGATAAAATTATGATCCTATAGCATGTCACAGGTTGTATCTTCAGGGGTTTATAAAATAATACATGTGCTGGTTGGTGTTTGTCAACTGACACAAGCAAAGATTACCTAGGAGGAGGAAATTTCAATTAAGGAAATGCCTCCAACAGAACAGCTTACAGGCATGTGTTTGTGTGGCATTCCCAGGGGATGGAGACAGGGACACCAACCCACTGTGGGCTGAGCCACCCCTGGGCAGGAGGTCCTGTAAAGTATAAGAAAAATAACTGAACTGGAACCCAGAGGTAAGCCAGTAAGTTGTACTCCTCTGTGGCTCTGCCTCAGATCCTGCTTTAGTTCCTCAATGATGGCCTGTGATCAGAATGTGGAAGACAAATAAACCTTTTCCTCCCCAAATTGTTTTTGGTCATGGTGCTTATTATACCAGCAGAAAGCAAACTAATACAACAAAAGAACATTAATCTTACTTTTCAAGTGTCTATGTGCCAACCAGGGTGCTAGAGTCTATACAGTGGACCTTACATGTGGTTCTGAACCCCACTTTAACCCGTCAAGAAGTCTTTAGTACCAAAAGAAGCTATACCGATCTACTTATAAGCATATGTATCCAAACCACCATTTTTGGCTTTGGGAAAAACAGACATCAATGGTGCTAAAAATCTGATAAAAAGTTGGAGATGTAGCTCTGTGATAAAGTTTGGTTTTTTTGTTTTAATTTATTTATTCTTATTTTATGTACATTGGTGTTCTGCCTGCATGTATTTCTGTGTGAGCGTGTAAGATCTTGGAGTTATGGACAGTTGTGAGCCACCATGTGGTTGCTGGGAATTGAACCCAGGTTCTCTGGAAGAGCAGTCAGTGCTCTTAACCACTGAGCCCAGCTCTCCAGCGCCCAAGTTTATGGCATTTTTGTTTTGTTTTGTTTTCTTGTTTTGTTTTGATTAAAGATTTTAGGGGCTGGATTTACTGTGCTGGTGGCATACACCTTTAATCCCAGCAGTCTGGAGGAAGAGGAAGGCAAATCTCTGAGTTTGAGGATAGCCTGGTCTACAGAGTTCCAGGACAGCCAGGGATACAAAGAGAAACCTTGTCTTGAAAACACAAAACAAACCAAAAACCTAAGAAAGTGATATAAAACATCTAGCATAGATTTTATACATCAAAACCCCCAAATATTTGGGATAAACAAAAATATACAAAGATATGTAAGTCTCCCTCTCTCCCTCTCAGATTACTATTCAGAATTAAAACGGAAAGGAAAGTTTAGTACATGCCATAGTGTAGATGACTTTAACAACACTATATAAAGTAAAATATTCTAATTCAGGGACAAGTGGACATCTATTGCACAACCTTATTATATTTGGTATCTAAACTAATTAGCTCAGAGACAGAAACGTTTGGTGGATGTAAGGAGCTGAGAAAGAGAAAGGAGGCAACAGTTCAGGTTTATTTAATGTGTGCACAGCTGCAGTTTGGGAACATTTCTGGAGAACAGACACTAGTGAGGACTGTAAAATTATGTGAATGTCCTTGATGTTATTGTGCTGGCTAGTTTTAAGTCAACTCAACAAAGCTAGAGTCATCTGAGAGGAGCGAGCCTCAATCAAAAATGCCTAAGTCTGGACTGTAGACAAGCCTGGAGAACATTTTCTTAATTGGTGATTAATGTAGGGGAGCCCAGCTCATTCTGGGTAGTACCATCCCTGGGCTAGTGTTCCTGGGTGCAATTAAAAAAGGAAGGCTGGAGAAAAAAAGAAAAAGCAGACTTAGTGAGCCATGGGGAACAAGACAGCAAGCAGCATTCTTCTATGTCCTATGCATCAGCTCCTGACTCCAGGTTCCTGCCCTGTTTAAATAGACTTCAACAATAGACTACAATGTGAAAGTGTAAGCCAAATAAACCCTTTCCTGCACAACTTATTTTTGGTCATGGTGTTATTCATCTGTATACGTGAAAATGGTTCAAATGCTGGGCTAGATGTGGTTGTGTTGGTGGACTGCTTACTGAGCATTCAGGAAGCCCAAGGTGCCAACCCCAGAATCACATTTAAAAAAAATGAAAGGAAGGAAGGAAGGAAGGAAGGAAGGAAGGAAGGAAGGAAGGAAGGAAGGAAGGAAGGAAGAAAAGAAAAATAACGGGGCACAATCATGGCAGAAGGAGGATGATGAGAAGATAAAAGGTCATGAGGATCCAAAGACAAAGATTTGAGTCCTAAATCTCACTTGACACATATTCTACCACAGTGAAAAATGAGAGCTGTGTATTATCAACTAGAAATGCTAAGAGTGAAATCAGAGAGATGGCTCTGAAGGTGAAGTGCTAGTCATACAAATCTGATCATTTGAGTTCAAGTCCATGGTGAAAACAAGAACCAAGTCCTCCAAGTTGTCCTTTGACCTCTACACGTGTGCCATCGCACATATACGTGACAAATAAATGATGGGGGCATCCTTCTGTGTGCTGTAAATATATGACTAGAGCTGTTTCAGCCAATGGACAGGAAGGATCTAGCCAGGCAGGTAAATCCAAACAGGGAGACAGAGAAAGGTAGCAGGCAGAGTTGAGGAAATGATATGTAGTTGCCGAGGAAACCAGAGACCCGGACATCACCAGTAAGTCAAAACCACGTGGACATATACAGATGAACAGAAATGGGTTTATAATAAAGAGAGAGGTAGCCAATAAGAAGCCTGAACCGTAAGTCAGTTTATAATTAATATAAGCCTCTGTGTGTTTATTTGGAACTAAACGGCTGTGGGACCGGGTAGGACAGAAACTAATTCTACAAATAAATATAATAAAAGATAGCAATGTGCGGGGAGTTGGTGGCGCAGGCCTTTAATCCCAGCACTCGGGAGGCAGAGGCAGGCGGATCTCTGAGTTCAAGGCCAACCCGCTCTCCAGAGCGAGTGCCAGGATAGGCTCCAAAGCTACACAGAGAAACCCTGTCTCCAAAAACCAAAAAAAAAACCCTTTTCCAAAAAAAAAAAAAAAAAAAAAAAAAAAAAAAAAAAAAATAGCAATGCTAGGCTGGAGATATGGCTCAGCAGCCATAGCACTAGCTGCTCTTCCAGAAAACCTGGGTTCAATTTCTAGCACGTAAATGGCAGCTCACAACTGCCTGTAATTACTTTTCTAGGAGATGTGACATCCTCACAAAGACATACATGCAGGCAAAAGACCAATGCACATGAAGTAAAATTAATAAGTAAATTATTTAAAAAACAACAATGCTAATAATCAAACACAACAACGCACATAACCGACAAGGTGAGGCCAGTATTTATCACTCTGATGCCAGTTTACAACATCCACAACATAAAATCCTAATGACTACGGGCACTGTGGCTGCACATTGTTCTTAACACGAAAAAGAGGAAAGCCCCCCCCCTCCCTCTCCCTCTCTCTGTCACTCTGTAAGCAATATAAATGTGCTTACCTCCACTGGCATATTCCATGATTAAGTAGAGGGTTTTTTCTGTTTCAATGACCTCAAACAACTTCACTGGAAGGAAAGGATAGATGAAAAAAGAACAAATATCTAGATGTACAAAACATGCATCTATAAACTACAAAAACACCACAACTTTTTCCTGATAAAGATTTTAGAGAGATAAAGGTTCATGCTTTATAGAGATTAAAAGAAATAATATCCTGCATTACAGAATTTTATAAAAACAAAGATTATTTCTGGGTATTGGGAATGTGCTCTGGCAATATGACTGTTTTGTCACTTCCTTTCTTCCTGCTACTGTAGGTGGGCTGTGTAGGTGGGCTGTCCTTCCAGCAGCTCCCACCTGAGACTTCTGTAACTTGAGGAACTTACTGCAACTCTCAAAGAAGTAGGTCCTTTAGTTAATATTTTGAAAGTAAAACTAGAAATAACTAGGAGTTATATGGCAGTTAATAATTTTTCTTCTTTTGCTGGGTGTTGGTGTCGTACGCCTTTAATCCCAGCACTCAGGAGGCAGAGGCAGGCAGATCTCTGTGAGTTTGAGGCCAGCCTGGTCTCCAGAGCGAGTGCCAGCATAGGCTCCAAAGCTACACAGAGAAAACCTGTCTGGAAAAAAACAAAACCAAAACAAAAAGAATAATAATTTTTCTTCTTCTGTAGTACTGAGAATTGAATCTAGAATCTCACAAATGCTAGTCAAGCATCATTCACAAAGAATTTTTTATACATATTTTGAGGCATGATTTAAATTGCAAGGCTAGCCTTGACCTCATTCTGTAGTTCACCAAGCCATGGATTTAGCCTTTTCTTGCCTCAGCCTCCCAGGAAGCTAAAATTATAGGCAACTGACACAAGAAGCAAAAACAAATTCTTTTTCTTTCCTCTGGAACTGAGGTCTGAGCACAGGGTCTTGGGCTTCCTAGGAAAATCTATAGAATAGTCTACATAGTAAGTTCCAGGACAGCCAGAGCTACACATTTCTAAAAACCAAACCAAAAACAAACAAATGATTTTCCAGGGGTGGGAGGTTTTTTTTTTTTTTTTTTTTTTTTAAAGATTTGTTTATTATGTATACACCATTCTGCTACCAGAAGAGGGCTCCAGCTTTCATTACAGATGGTTGTGAGCCACCATGTGGTTGCTGGGAATTGAACTCAGGACCTCTGGAAGAGCAGCCAGTGCTCTTAACCTCTGAGCCATCTCTCCAGTCCCCTAGAAGGAACTTTCTATTTCTGCTAATTTTTAATGCTGCATGCCACATCAAAGAAAGAAAAACACACGTTTTTAAAGGAATATGAAATAAAATTTTGAAGCTATTAAATACCTAATTTTGTTATTTTCTTTACAATTTTCTCAAAAAGTAGGACTCTTTTTTTTTTGATGACTTAATAAGACAGTAGACCAAAGAAAATACCTGACAAAGTATTTAGTAAGTATTAAATGAACTAATGAAAGTCTCAGACCATTACTTAGCCTCTATGTCCAAATTGTTAAGAAAACCAACTTGAGAAAATAAAAGTAATACTGGTAAGTAATCAATACAAAAACAAAGATATTTTTATTTTTAATATGCAAAGCAGATAGTGTCTCTTTCAAGAAAATTATCTTGATGCCATATGAATCTTAGAAATGTAAAAGTAGCTGGGACGGTGTGGTGGTCACACACACACACACACACACACACACTCACACTCACTCACTCACTCACTCTTTTGGTCTTCTGTGGTTATATGTTATTTTTCTAGTCTGAAGAATTCATAAACATTACCTTTCTCACTTACTCTTGAAATATTTTTAGAAAAAGCAGCCATTATTTTTACAAAAATGCAGCTATTAAAAAGTCTATTTAAAAGTCCTATTCGACATATAGAATCAATTTTTTTCATTGATGTGCATTCTAGTTGATTTCTATGTTTCATCTTGGTCCTACAATTATAATTATGAGAGCAGGAAAAGGTCCTTCCCTCACCTGTCACAGTTAAGCACACAGAGGGCAAAGCACATAGTTTCTATACCAGTTACATTAGGTAGCATATATCCCATCTTTTACATACTACTTTGTACAAATATTTTCTTATGAACACAGACACAGCAAACATTTCTTTGAAAATATTATAAACCAATGAAATACAATTACATTTCCCAATACAACTAAACAATTAATCAGCCTGATTATAAATATTCTACGGCATTAAAGCTTAAGTTATAATGCTTAATACCTGTAATTTCAAAGAGCTAGAACAAACAATAACTTGTATATATTTTATCAAAAATATACCTGGGCTGGGAGAAAGGGGTAGAGCGTCCTACCACTTCAGAAATACATGTTTAGCTTTAGGACATATTTTCAAGACTGCATATTTAAACCATAAAGTATTTAAGAAAACAGAAAGTACCTATGTTTGGATGATTTAAAATCTTCATTATTCTTACTTCTCTGAAGAGCTTTAAAAAAAAGGGAAAAGACAGATCCTTATGTTATTAAATGTTACACTCTGTTAACAGTATAAATGTAAGTTTTTCTTAGATAACTGCTTTTTTATTTATATTTATTACCCCATTCCTAAGAATAAAATAGTATAGAAATTCAGAGTAACGCTGAAGTACGTTTATAACCTATTACCAAACAGTATTCCCAAATACTTTCACTAATGGAAATGGCAGCAGTCCCGAGAGGAACAAGTACCACACTCTGAATTCGTTTGGCATCTTAAAAAATAGTCTGTGATTAAACTTGGTCTGATTCACTATCTAAACACATGAGAGCCAATAAAAACCTATACAGCCCCAATGAACTACATTAGGACCACACGAGATTTGGTGATTCCAAATGCTTCCCCGGGAAGACTCTGAATGACGCCGATTTGGACGTCCTCATTGAAGAAGACAGTGATGGCAGAGTGGGAGTCCTCCTAAGCCACACCTCACAAGCAGCTGCACTTCCTGTCTTCCCTGCTTCAGCCAGGGTGACAGCAGCAAAGTCAAAGTGAGCAGAAGCTGGAGACAACGTTTGGCCATCAGGTTCTACCGTCTTAGATCTGTGTGAAGCTGGTCCTACCTGTTTCAGCATGAGAGGTAGTACAGAGAAAGAAACCCTCTCCTCAGGCTCGAGCCTCTGCCAATCCAACAGATAAGCTACACCAGTGAGCCAATGTGAGGCCTTTGCACAAGTGGCTCAAGCAGGATATGCAGACAAGTACAGGGAAGTGATAAGTGTGTAGTAGGAACACATGCTGGCAAATAAGACAATAAGGTTTAAAAGCCTTTTAAAATCTATTTTATGGATGTGAGTGTTCCACCTGCATGTAAGCGCATTCGGTGGTGCAGAGCCAAGAGTGAGGAGGGCATCAGATCCCCAGGAACTATTATTACAGGTGACTGTGAGCCACCACATGGTGCTAGCAACCACATCTGTGTTCTCTGAAAGAAAAGTCACTGCTCTTAAATACTGAACCGTATCTTCAATCTCCCCCCTTTCTTTCTTTATCTCCCCACCCTGACAAAGTCCGAATAGGTAGCTAGCTTGCATGAAACTTGCTAAGTAGACCAAGGTAGCCTTGAACTCACAGGAAGCTACCTGCCTCTGCTTCCTAAATACTAGGATTAAAAGCCAAGCACCACCACACCCTTTGTTAGGATTGGTTTTTTCAGTCTTCAAGTGTGATGAATTTGGGGTAATTGCCTAAATGCTAACTACACCAGAACTTCACAGATCTATGCTTCCTTGCCAGCCTCGACCTTACAGAGCTCTTAGTCACCTGTTAGAGTGAAGGTTAGGAAGTCAGGTGTAATGTGAAAGACTGGGCATCTAAGACACACACACACATATTTTTTTTAAGAGAATGTAAATCAGGGTTTCTTGGATGCCATTAGCAGTAATGTGATAGGTCAGAAATAGATTGCTTTTTGTAGGACTGGAGATTGAACCTAGGGCTTTGCACATAAATGGCAAGTGTTCCATCCCTGGGGTACAAGACCAACCCACTATCTCAGTTTTATTTTAAGATAGTGTCTAACCAAATTGTCCAAGTCATCCAGGAATATATTCTGTAGACAAGATTTCCTCAAAATGATGGCGATCTTCCTGCCTCGGGTTTCCCAAGTGCTGGGATTATAGACACAGTTTACCATGTCTGGTGACTGTTTTCTTTTCAAAGCTGGTGTTTATTTTGGAGCCACTACTGGCACTTGACAGTTCTGCAGTGTGGTGGCCTTTCTGATTATCTTGAGGAATCTTAGTTGTGGGACAGTCAAGAAACGGCCTATTTTACAAGCAGTTAGTACTCTTCATGTGCTCTGCAGTGTCCCTTGCACCGGACTACTTGGGACACCGTTCCTTTGGCTGCTGCTGCTTCTTCTTTTTTTTTTTTTAATTTTTAATTTTTTTTCCTTTGGCTTCTTTAAATCAATAGTTTCCAGGGAATGTGGGGTTGGCTTGGTGGTTAAGAGCACTTGTTACTATCGCAGAGGATTAGGATTAAATTCTCAGAACTCACAAGTCACAACTGTAACTCCAGTCTAACTCTCTCTTCTGACCTCAGTGAGAACCAGGCAGGCAAAACTGTCATACACACAAAATATTGTTAAAGAAAAACCAAAACAGTAGTTTTCAGCACTCTGTACATTGGATTCTTTTTTTAAAGACCAGGCTTGTTGACCAGACAGGTGCTGTCCTCCCTAGAGGTCCTGGCTGACGGGGTTGGGTCAGATACAGTGACAGTGCATTAGAATGAAAACAGTCTGGGACACACACACTTCTACAAGGCAGTCTGTTTCATAGTTTAATTAAATTTACTTATTTTTTTATTTATTTATTTATTTATTTATTTATTTATTTATTTATTTTAGGTTTCTAGGGACAGAGTTTATCTGTACAGCCTTGGCTGTCCTGAAACTTGGCTCTATAGTCCAGGCTGGCCCTGAACTCTGCCTGCATCTGCCTCCTAACCCTGAGTGCTAGGATTAAAGGTGTGAGCCACCAGCACCCAGCCTATTCATTTTATGTTTACCAATTCTTAAGCCATCTGCGCCTTTTAAAAGGAAAATTCCTTCGCCATGAGCCCTGTAAGTCCTGTGGATTGTTTCTACTTCCCTCTATGGAACTCTGAGGCATGCCTCTAACATAGTGGACTCCTCTCCCCAACAGCTCAAGACAGGCCACTTACAAAATCTTGGTCAAAAAACAGTTGTTCATCTTTTTTTTTTCTTTCTTTTGTTACTATTTTCTTCTTTGCTTTTCCTGAACTGATCTGTAGCAGGCTGGCAACTCAGGCCTTATCACAGTTTTGTGTCTGCATTTGACTGTGCAATGAATCTGACAAACTGATGGTAACAGAATGCTACGACACAATTCTGTTATGCTTGCTCAAAATATTGCAAATAAAAATCTGTGGTTTTCTACTTTTAGACTTTAAAGAAGTAGTAGATGGTAGCAACAGAAAAAAAGAAAGCCTCTATGTTATTGACTCTTTATAGGAAACTTTTGTTTTTTTTCTTCTTCCAAGACGGGGTTTCTCTGTGTAGCCTCCGCTGTCCTGGCACTCGCTCTGTAGACCAGGCTGGCCTTGAACTCACGAGATCCACATGCCTCTGTCTCAAGTGCTGGGATTAAAGGCTTGCACTACCAATGCCCCGCAGGAAATTAAAATTTATTGACATTTCTTTTTTTTTTTTTTTTTTTTTTTCCGAGACAGGGTTTCTCTGTGTACCTTTGGAGCCTGTCCTGGCACTCGCTCTGGAGACCAGGCTGGCCTCAAACTCACAGAGATCCGCCTGCCTCTGCCTCTGCCTCCCGAGTGCTGGGATTAAAGGTGTGCTCCACCAACGCCCAGTGAGAGATTTCTTTTAACAGAAAGTAATACAGCTTGTTATTTAGAATAGGTTGGAAACTGAGGCTATTACAAGGTAGTTTAATTCTTTTTCCATTTATTATGTGCATGTGTCACAGCACACACATGGAAGGCAAAGGCAACTTGTGAAAGCTGGCTCTTTCCTTCCAACATATAGGTTCACAGGGTTAAGCCTGAGTCCTCACTCTTGGCAGCAAGAACCTGCTGAGCCATCTTCCTGGCCCAGAGGCAGTTTCATTTTATTTTATTTTGGTTTTTCGAGACAAGGTTTCTCTGTATAGCTTTGTAGACCAGGCTGGCTTCGAACTCACTGAGATCCACCTACCGCTGCTCCCTAGTGCTGGGATTTAAGGCAGAAACCACCACCTCCTGGCCCAGAGGCAGCTTTAAATTGTGCCAGTGGCTAATTATGCCATTTCAGAACAGTTACTAAAGAACAAAATATTTGTAGTGAGTTAAAACGGAGCATAGCATGGCTAGGGACAAATTAACCCTTTGAAAGAATAACAGAGACATCCAGAATCACCCTCATATAGCTAGTTCTTATTGTGTCAGCCGTTGTTCTTTGTTGCTCCACGCTCTTTGCATATTGTACATCCTTTAATGTACACTTACAGCAGTGAAGCCATGTTGAGTACAGGTAGTTAATGTAGCTGTAGAGGGAGGTAAACTTTGTTTTTGTTTTGAGACAGTGTCTCATTGTGTAGGCACAATGGCCTGGAATTTACTCAAACTCAGAGAGCCACCTGCCTCTGCCTCCCAAGTGCTAGGATACCGGCATACACCACCACACCTAATGGCAATTAAAGATAGCTCAGCTGGTGACATCACTTGCTACCAGAATTGATGACCTGAGTTTGATTCCCAACACCTTCATGGTGAGGAAACAACTTCAAGTTTTCCTGACCTCCACATGCACACCATGGATTGTGCACACACAAAACAAAATGAATGTAAATTTTTTAAAAAGCATTGACATTTTAGGAGAAACATATGAACCCGTTACATATAGAGTCCAAAAAATCGAAGAGAAGAAACAGAAACTGAGGTTTTTGTTGACTGACATAAACAGGAAACAACTGTTGAGGTCTCATATTAACATTGTATGATTTCACCAGGTCATGCGAACAAAGACACTATGGAAACTATACGTTTTCCAAAGATTTTTGGCTTGGACTTTTGAACAAACAGAATTATAACATATGGATATGAATTTGATGTAGACTATACAAAGACTTCTACCTGGCTTCGAAGATGTTATCTACCATAAAAGACAATATTTTAATTTTTAAAATTTAATTATGTGTATTTATATTTATACGTATGGGTATTTTGTCTGCATGTATGAATGTGCACATGTATGCCTGGTGACTAAAGAGACCAGAAGGTGTCATCTACTGGAACTGGAACTAGAGATGGTTGTGAGCAGCTACATGAATGCTGGAAATAAAACCTGGGTCCTGTGGAAGAGCAAAAAGCACTCAACTGTGAGCCATCTCTCTAGCCAAGACAGAAGTATTTTTCAGACATCATACAGAGAGCATCCATCACCAGTATCTGAAATAGAGATTAAAAACCATGGAATAATTTTCTAAG